AATACTGACATCTTCAGAACACTGCCCTGATTAGGGTTAAATAACCCAGAGCCCATCCTGGAACCCCAAGGGGCAGGAGAACATCATGGAGGGTGTGCCATTGCAGGGCACATAAGTGCAAGTATCTTTATTTTTTTTAAGAAGGGGAATGGCAACCCCTTGCTAATCACGCTCTGAAAAAAAGTACATTAGTCTAAAGAGTTTGGAGGTCACATAGGTAAGGTTGTATTTGCAGAAACGTTTTTCACGCCTACATATTGTTCAGTAGCTGACTGTTGAAAAATACATTTTATGTCATGTGAGTTTGAGGAATAGCGTCAAAGCTGCTGATAATTCACAGAAAAGAAGCACCTTTAATCTCTAAAGGTGAAGGCGAAGCTGGCACCAGTCATTACAGTGTGACTCCCTGGCACACTGTCAGCTGCTGTTTTGTTTGCAAATAGAAATGAGTAATAAGGGAAAATCCCCTGCATGTGAACTCCATCTACAGAGCCTACGCAGGATTACTCAGATGGTGCTTTCTGAGAACGAGATTAGAATGACTATTGAACCGCTGTAAAACCTGAGATTGAATAATCGGTACTCTGTAGGAAGAAATGATTCAGGAAATAATGTTTTGGTGTTTCTAAAAATGTGCGAAATGGTTTTCTGTTAAAACAGCATTTTTTCTTGAGAGTATATTTCTCCTTAAAAAAGAATGAATTGGGAAATTCGTCTTAGTGCATCATAACTGCTTCTTAACTACTTGTAAGCTTCGGGTGTCCAATCTTGGTCCTGGAGGGCCAGTATCTCTGCAAGTTTTCATTCCAGCTCAGCTATTAAGGATTTGACTTCACTCTTTTGTGGCTTAATTAGACCGTTTTAACAGCTTTTCCCAGAGTCTTCAGGTGCTGCTTGGTGTAGCAATCTAAAACATCTGCTGGTGCCTTAGCCCTCCAGGATGAAGACTGTACAGCCAAGCCATAGGAGGAGAAAAGAGGAGACTCATTTCAAAACAGTCTCTCTTCTTGCTGTTTTTTCTCAGCAGTATGCTAATATACTGATAAAGTAGGGAGCTAAATAAGTTGATGCAGATTTACTAAAAATAAGATAACATGACATTTCTGATTCTTGTTGTTTGTGTATGTGCAGCCCACAATTCTTCAGGAACTTAAATGTCGTACATTTGGAGTCTTTATTTTCATCCTCTGATTAAGCAGCTGTGTGTACATAAGTCACCATTATAAAACCTAGAGCAATACATAGTGTTCTGTGGTGGTCTGTCTCCCTCAGAGACTTGTGCAAGCAGTGCCTGTTAAAGGCACTTTAAAAATGTTACTTTCCTGTTTTTACAGTTGCTTTTGTAATCAGCAAGATTATATCTAATAGTCTTGAATCATCTACAGCCTCGTTCCTTTTAGTTCTCCTATACCCTTCATTTGAGTCTGTTATAGTCCATATGTTAATGACCCTCTCTCTTGTTTTTTTACATGCTCTGCTTGGATGGCAACAGGGAGGAGGGAGGTGATGCTTCGGTAAGTCTGATTCCCCAAGCTCAGGATTCTTTACTCTCAGGCACACAACAGTGATCAAGCAGGAGGTAATGATATGCCATGGAAAAGAGCTGACAGTTCATGGGGTTCATCTGCATCTGGTGAAAACTTGGTCTCTGCACAATATTGCTGAGAGAGTGGCTTTTTCCAATGAAGCAATCTTTCCCTTGGTTGTTCCAAACAGAAGGGGAGAGAGAGGGAGGGCTTGGTCCTGCTCATTGAGAAGTCAACCAAGTTGGAGTGGTTGGTATCATGATTCCCCACTTATGGACCCACTGGAGCTCCCTGCACATGGCGAGGAGTTGTTCGTCCCATATTTCACCTGGGAGTCCCATATTTCACCTGGGAGTCATATCCATATCCATAGCGCATAGGTGGATATCCTATGCACTCCCAGTCAGTAGCAGAATAGTATAAAAGTGATTTAGTTAATTTAATCCTTGGTTCAAATTTTAGAACTATTTCACTCGTCATTCACAGTAAAGACACAGTAAGGAATGACACTGACAAGATCTTCTACAGAGAGCCTCTGGTGTATCTCATTGATAAGTGTTTTTGGAAAAAATGGTGGAAATCATACTCTAGGTTCTGTCTGACATTCCTGTGAGGTGGGTAATGAACACATGAAATTGGTGAAGTATCCAACCTGAATCTGCAGACTAATGAGAAAGTGATTCTGTATTTTAGAATTCCCTAAAAGGAAATTCTAGGGTTTCCTTTATAATTATTACAAAATGTATAAAATCCCCATGCCTGAACATTGTCAAGTTCTGTCCTTTTGGCAGTGTACTATAAGATCGACTACCACTTGATTTGAAAGGATGCTCAGGCCTTTGCCCGGTGACAAGACTTCTTCACAGGTCACTTCTGTAAAATGGCTATGGTGCATAGCGAATCATGTTCTTGCATTAAGAGCTGATAGATTAATATTGCTTTATTTTCACAACTACTGTCATTTATTACTAAGTATAGTACATTTTTACTATGAAATGCCCTGTTGTTTGAAGCAACATTCTTAGCTTGACGATGCTAATTGTGTTTTTTTTTCTCTTTAGGCAAAAGAGGAGAATCACTCCAAACCAGCCCTACTCAAAGGACTGGTTTCCAAAGGGTTGTCCTCTAGCCGCTTCCTGCCCAAGGGCACCAAGACGAAGGTGAATTTGGAAGAGCAGGGAAGGCAGAAGGTCTCCTTTAGCTTCAGCATGACCAAGAAGCCGCTGCAGAACCGCTTCTTAGCCCCACTCAGTCCAGAAAAACCTGCTAGTGATTCCCAGATCTCCGTTTTGACATCTGTGGCTGTGTCTGCACCCACCCAGGATAAAGTAGGGCAGCATCCAGAAAGCAGGAGTGAGCAAATTGAGCCACTGTCACTTGTAGCAGAGTCCATAACACCCTCACCTTTTGTGCCCTCGCCCTTAAAACCGAAATTGGACCTGGGGAAAATGCACTTCAAAAAACAGCTTCTCAGTGTCACGGCTAAACTTGAATCCACAGGAGAGAAGGAGGAACCTCTGCTAGTTCCAAGCATGGCAGTGGGAGCGCCTTCTGAGGCAGAGCTGCAAGTGGAACTCAAAACTGCAGCCAAAGCTGAAACGGAATCCCAGACCCCAAATGCTGTTGAGCACAGCACCCTAGAAGACTCTGTAAAGGAGAAGCCAGGCCTCTGTCAACAGAGCCCAGGAAATACTTCCCATATTGGGAAAGAGGAAAATGATACAGAAGGTCTGAAAAATGTGCAGTGTACAGAAACCTCCGACCCCAGGAAAAACCAGCCTCAACTAGAGAACACCCTTCCTGGTTCTGAGTCTGATGGCGATTCAGTGCGGACGTCTTCCAGCCACAAGTCTGGTGATATCAAAAGCAGCACGGCACATGCAGAGAGCAGAAGTAAGGAAGTTAAGAGGAACTCCTCAGTTTCTAAAGGAGAAGAATCTGAGAAATCCTCTTATTCCCGCACCAGGTCTGAAAAGGATGACCGTCACTCGAGCTATTCAAAGTCAGACAGGGAGTCAAGACACACATCATTACGGTCTTCTCGATCAGAGAGACAGAGGAGGAGGAGTAGGAGCAGGACACGCTCCCGGTCCAGAGGCTCTAGAAAAAGCTCTTCGTACTCTAGATCTGAGAGGTCATTGAGAAGTGAAAGGTCAACCAGGTCAGAGCGATCACATTATCATGATTCTGATCGGCGATCCCATCGGAGCACCCCACACAGGGAGAGGAGTTGTTCATCCCGTTCCCGAACTGACATAAGATCCCGAGACAGTTCAGAGTCTGAGGATGACCACAGGAGGACTCGTTCCCGGGGCAGTGACTCCAAAAGATCCTCTACCAATTCCATCTCCCACAGGGAGTCCAAAACCACCACCACCTCCTCTTCTTACTCGAAATCCGAAAAGGACTGTAAAACAACAGAACCGTCTCACTCATCAGAGACTGAAAAAAAGATGCAATCTAACTCTAGGTCTGAGAGAGACTCTAGAAGGAATGTGGACCTGGAGTCCATCAGAAAGACTTCTCCTGAGATGGAACTAGACCGCAGGAAGTCCAATGCTGGGTCCAAATTGGAGAGCAGTGTGAATTCAACTCATTCCAAACCCAGAACCCGATCTCAGACATCAGAGAAAGCATCCCAGAAAATGACCTCTAGCTCAGAATCAGAAGAGGAGCAAGAGAAATCTCAGTTGCACAGTTCAGAAACATCATCCTCTGCCTCAGGGTCAGATGAGAGGCAAACCACATCTGCTAGTAAGATGGATAAACCTGATGTGAAAAGATCATCATCCCCCAAGCCCACAGATCTGCAAAAGCCAACCACGGAGACAAATAAATGTGTTCAGGAGACCGAGAGACAATCAATGGGCAAGTCAAGTAGTCCCAAAACAGTGACATTACAGTCAGATACCAACAAATTGTGTTCACAGACAGAAGATGGAGGAGGAATGAAAGAGTCCTGCCCCACAAACAATAGTCAGTGTAATGAAATGGACAGTAAACAATGCTGCCATGATGCCACACCCTATTTGAAAGACTTTCAAAACCTAACTGTGCCTGAACCTGGACTCACTGATTCCTCATTAGCTCAGGACTGTAAACAAAGTGGCCCTCCTGACAAAATTAAGTCTTTCATTAAGATTGAAAAACTATCTACATACAGTTTACGTTCTCACTCTAAAGTGCAAAAGTTCGATGTTGCAAAAGAACTTGGTGATCTCCCTTCCCCATCCATGCCTGACCTACAGAACGTCCAGGCTCTGGATACAAATAAGGCTCTTACTATGTATGATGATACTGATGTTGACTCACGGGAGCCTAAAGCCCAGCCATCTGCTGAAAGTTCTCAACAGGAACATCCAGATTGTCCAGGACGTGATATAGACTCTTCTGCACTTCCTCAGTCCTTAGTTGATAACAGGGAAGAGACGGCTACAGCATCATGTGAGATCCCTGTTGACTCATGTGTGACAATGGTCAGCTGCGAACAACCTTCCAACCTTGGCAGTCTATGCAGCTCTTTGGATAATGTGCCATTGTCTAATGTATCATCTACAGAGATTAGTTTGGAACACAGGACAGGTGTGCTCAAGACTGCTGAAGAAGACAAGACAGTAATAAATGTGGAAAGGGTTTGCATGGAAGAAGATGTGGAAGTTACAAATGACCTGCCATCTCACATGACAAAGTCATCCCCGGAGGGCATTAATGTTGGTAAAGACATAGCTGTTGGAAACATTCAGAGACTTCCAGAATTAAAACAAGACAACCAGCATTCCCAAACGTCTCTAGAAATATGCACTGATGAGCAATTAATACAGAAAGAGTCTCCCTTAACCAACTGCAGTGCCTTTTCCAAAGATGAACCATCATTGTGCATTGAGGCACTTTACCTGAGAGGCTGTGATTCTCCTACTAAGTCAGAAATTCCTAATAATGCTGACTCCCCTTATAGTGGACTTTCACATTGTAATACCAGCACGTATAAACTAATTTCCTCTGACAGAGAAGAGACTGGGAGTTTACAGTCTAGCACTGTTTCTCTGGAAGAGGGATCCTTTTCGAAGGTCGATAGTTGCTCAGTTAAAGATTTAAATCTCACTCTTAATGAATTTGCTAGTAGTAACGTTACAGAACAAAAAAATGCACCCATTTCAAAACCAACAAAAGGTAATGTGAAAAAATCTCGCTGGGATATAGTTGGACAGGAGACATCAGATCAAGAAACCTCACCAAGAAGATCCAGACTGGAGACCAAACCATATATTAAAAAGGTAGTCTCAGTTCGCAGGATACACCTGTCAAAAGACTCAAACCCAGACACTAAAGAGATTTGTATGAAAGAGGAACCAATTTTCAAACAAGAATGCCCCGTAATAGTGGAACATAACTTGAATGAGGACCACGTAAATGTAGCTGGTCTATTTTCGGCAGCCAAAGTGGCAGATGTGAAAACAGAAGAAACTGTTGACCAAGCAGATAGCTCCCGGGTGAGGCAGCAGAAGAATATCTCCGATATTAAATCCAAGCCAGAGCCATTAAACGCACCCACGCAGCCGTTCTTTGAGGACGATAGTGATGCATTTAAAAACAATGAGGAAGAAATGGTTGTAGGGTGCAGCACCATAAATGATCCCCAAGGAACTCAGCTGCCTTTGGTTGCAAATGAAGAAGGATTAAAGAAGGAAGAGGAGGAGGAGGATATGGTAAGACAAAGGCAGTGTTTGTGGAAGAGCAAGCCAGACAGCAGCAACATGTCCTTAGAACGTGAGGGCGAAGATAGTGAGGACAGTGAGACAGAGGAGTCCGATTTGGATTCGGACGACAGTGGTGTTCCCAGGAACCGGCTGCAATCAGTGGTTGTTGTGCCAAAGAACTCCACTTTGATCAGTATAGAAGGCAGAGCCATCATAACACCATCATCAAGTCCCAGTAACAGCCCTGGCCGACCCTCTTCAGACTGGGCCGAGCACAGCTGGACTGAGCCTTTTGGCCGGGGTGCAGATAGGGATGGAAGTGGGGAGGGAACTCGGAGGGACACATCCAGGAGTCGAAGTGTCAGCCCCGAGAGAAGGCGACGAGGGGGTCCCGTCAAGATGTCAGAGAGTTGCAAGCGGGTTCATGAAGTTCCCACTGCAGACACAATTTCATTCCCCCAGAGTACAGGCTACCCTTCACAAAGCAATATGGTGGACAGCACCAGCCAGTCTGAAGCATCGCGAGCTCACTGTTCTCAGCACCACACAAAACCCACACAGACCCATGGCCAGGATAAACCGAAGACCTTGACTACACTTGGCTCGGTCCATGACCCTCAGAACTCTTGGGGTGAATTGGACCTGGGAGACTCACGGCACTATGAGAGGCCCGACAGCTGGCAGGGGAGGAAGTGGGGGAGGAGGTTACCCCGCTACCAGCCTGGGGACTTCACCAGGGCCGATGGGTTCTGCAACAAGGATGACTATAATCTGGGCTGGGATTACACTCAGGCAGAGCAGCCCACCAGTACGTACCAGCAGCCAGATAGCAGTCATGGAGTCCATCTTGACAAAACCTACCAACTACAACAGCAGCAGCAACAGCAAAATCCCCTACAAGAAGTAATCCCTCTGACTGGACAGCCTTGGTGGCAAGACAATGGCTACTGGGCACCCCCGGGGCCCCAGAGCTGCAGGCCTGTGTGTCCACCTATGGCTTTGCAGTACCGGGAGTCTGTGGGCCAGGTACATCCCGATTCACTGACCAATGACTATGATGATGAGAGTCGAGGTAAATCAGGCCCCAGCCTGACCAGCCTTTTGGACAGCAGTGTTTCAGCTACAGCTCCCTGTGATCCCCCTCCCTCTGCACCTTCCTCTTTCGTCCAGGCAAATGAAGTCAGCAGCAACTGTAGAGGGCCTATCAGTGCTGCTCCAGAGAGCTCGGCCATTTCAGAGGCCCCCAGGGAAGAAAGTTGCAAGCCCCACAGGGGTAGAGGACCCCCCAAGAAGAGACGTCCAGAGCTGGAGTCGGACTCTGAGAATGAAGCAGAAGTGGGTCCCTCCAAGAAGGAGCGTTTAAGGGAGGGTGATAACTCAGGAACCTCAGTCGCATTATTGGAGACCCCATCCCAGATTCCAGAGGCTGTCTGGCCTCATCTCAGTTTGCAGGACTTCCTGGACCCAGTTACCTGGAAGGATAGAGCCAAGATGGGGCAGATGCCACCTTACTTTGACCTGATTGAGGAAAACCTCTACCTCACTGAACGGTAAGAGAGTGCTTAAAATATTATCATTATTCTGGGTTATTGTTGAGGCATTTGTTATTGTTTGTAATATATGGATTGTGAAGTGAACGCTTCTCAGTTTGAATTGTATATTTCTTGCCTCAGTAGATTTTCAGCTGACCACTGTCTTAGCGGTTTTCTTGCTCTCACTGTTCACACAGCTCATTTGTGTGTTGTCACCATTGTCCTACATCACCCAGTGAGCTTTATAGTTGTTTTTTAAATCTAATGTGTTTCTCTGCTGGAAAATAGTTCCTGAATTAGATGACTCAGGTGAACATTTGCCAAAAAGTGCTTCTAAAATGGTTTTTAAGTATTCGAAATTTAATTGTGCACTCGACCATTCTTTATATGAAGATGTTTAAGCTGCTCTGGTTATGCATGAAAGTAGAATGTGCTGAGTATCAGAGTTTTCATAGGTGACCTTTTAAAGTGCTATCAACTTTTAATGAGGGGTAAGGTTCTGTTAAAAGCTTTTCTGTTGGCCTCCAGGTGCTATTGTCTTGATCAAATTCTAAAGGTCTTGAAGACGATATTGTTGTTGCAGCTGAGTAACCTTGAACACTGACATCAAGGCAGAAGATGCTCTTGGTAGCAATGCTCTTATGCTGTGATCCTTCATGTTCCTAAAAGTCTTGACAGGCTTTTCCATTTCAAGTATTATAGTATCGCTTTGGCTGTCAGCATAGTTATATGCTTGAGTTCTATGCTTTGAAGTGGAACTAAAAAAACAGACTGCAGGGTTATTTTCATGCTACCTTGTCATTTAAATAATGTACCTGAACCAAAGATCTCTGTAGCTTTCCTGAAAATTAGCATGCCTAATTTCTCACCTTTTACAGTTTCCCTTTAGCATTTGGCTCCATTACAAACAGTTCGTCCTTCAAAGATTGTGCAATATATTGTGCTACAAAATGTACATGACAATGATACTACTGATGAGAATCGATGATATCCTCTTAAGTTACGAGACAGCAAAGTTTGAAAGAGATCAGAAAAGTATGAGGCCTTCTTTCTTGTAGGTTGAAGGATGTCATTTCAAACCTGTTTTTTACCCAAGTCAAGCAGCAGTTGGAGAAAGGGACTGACTCTAATGGTCTCCATTTAGTCGATAAATGGAATTAAGTCACTTAATTTATACGGCGCTAAAAAGTGTTGGAGCCCCTCGGTCGCTGTTGGTTTGTGGTTCTGGGACTCCTCTCCCTGTGGCGGGCAGTGTGAGACGCTGCTGTGTCTGTGCAGGAAGAAGAACAAGTCTCACCGGGACATCAAGAGGATGCAGTGTGAGTGTGCGGTGCTGCCGAAGGAGGAGCGAGCGCAGGGGGCGGTGGCCTGCGGAGAGGACTGTCTCAACCGCCTGCTGATGATTGAATGGTGAGCAGGCGCATCCCAGCCTCACCGCCTGGCGTCTTTTCCCAAGTTTGAGAAGCTTTCGCGATGATAAAAATCGAAATTGCAAGTCACGTGTGCTTTAGTTTGCCATTGCGATCTTTGTGTCGTCAGCAAATTGTAAGTGGAAAATTGAAATCCCAAAACTTCACTTCTTTTTACACTGCCTAAATTTAGTCGTGCTGAAAAATTGTGAATTCAGCTGCTCTCTCATAAATCCTTTTTGTCTTCACCCACCTTGCAGATTTCACAGCTGCACTCTTTCTCTGCCCCCACCTCTTAATCTTTGTCCCTGCAGTTCTTCGCGGTGCCCTAATGGAGGGTACTGCTCGAACCGGCGGTTCCAGCGGAAGCAGCACGCGGAGTTTGAGGTCATCCTGACAGACAGCAAAGGCTGGGGTTTGCGGGCGGCGAAGGACCTGACACCGTGAGTCTGTGGCTGGGGCTCTGTGTCCTCTGCTCAGAGCTGGGAGTGGGTTTTCCAGACAGGTTCTCACAGATTCTGGCGAGAATCATAGTCCAAGCACAGTCTTTCACCTACCAGTCTTTTCCTTTCAACTAGAAGGCAGGGGTGCTGGAGTCTTGTAGCTCTCCACCCACAAGAGCAATTCTAAACGAGCAGAGGCCGTTCAGCCCATCTTGACTAATCTGGTTGTTGATCCAAGGGTCTCTTTCAGTTGCTTGTAGAAAGAAAGGGATCAGCTTGAACTACATGTCTGGGTAGCTTGTTCTCACGTTCCTTTAAAAGCTATCTTGGTAATCTCCCCTTTTTATATTCTTGTATTGCTTGTATACTTTCTGTGCATGACCTAGAGCTCTGTATCTGGGACAACATGGCAGGACAGGGAGGGTCTCATGGAGCCTTCTTTGCTTTTTTATATGGGATGGGACACTTTTCTCTAATTGGTTGTGGGAAGAAGTGAGCCACATGATACAAATGTTTCACAGGTCTAGCTTACTTAGTGTTGTAATGCTCGTCCTTGCATCTGGGTGGCATTGGTAACAATACGCCCTGTGTTACAGCAATACCTTCGTCCTGGAGTACTGTGGGGAGGTGCTGGATCACAAGGAGTTTAAAGCCCGTGTGAAAGAGTATGCCCGCAGCAAGAACATCCACTACTACTTCATGGCCCTGAAGAACAATGAGGTAAGCCCTCCACAACAATGACACTCCCAGCACAGTCACAGCTTCTGCTGAGAGACACTCTGAAACTGCTGATACTTTACACTGGTACTCTTTTTTTTTCTGGGTTGATTAGGAAACCATCTCTAATTTAGGACCTGCATTATGTTTGAAGGATTCTGTAATGAAAAGAATAACATAATAGAATCCAACAAAGAAAATCAATGGGACTAATGATGCAAGTGTTCAGTGTAGGCTAATTACGTTTTATCTTGTTCTGGTTTTCATTCTGTTGCAGATCATTGATGCCACGTTGAAAGGGAACTGCTCTCGGTTCATGAACCACAGCTGTGAGCCGAACTGTGAAACGCAGAAGGTGTGTAAGGAGAGAGCGAGATTGATATCTTTTCTGACTCCATTTGACTTTTGTTTGAATTGGCAGATTTTTTCTGGGGGGCAGTAGTTTGGCTGTCTCACAGATTGCTTATGTGGAACACATGCAACATACATTTGTTTGTCTTATGTGGATTTGATTACTTTTAATACTGGTCCATTTGTACTTCTTGGTGGAATGGCCAGAGAAGTGATCCCATTACACAGTTACCTGTAACAAGTGCTCTGGTTCTATACAGTATAGACAGGAAAGAAAAAAGTGTAGTACCTAACAAGCACCACCCCCCATTCTGATGTATGTTCGGTCTCTAGTCCCTTATCCTGCTGGCAGCTTGGCAAGACGCCTTCTTCAGGGGTTTAGGAATGTTAGAGTCAAGAAAGCGCAACAGCACCTGTACTTCCTAAGACGGTTGAAGAAGGCTAAGATATGTCCCCAGATCCTCACTAACATTTACAGATGCACTACAGAAAGCATACTGACAGGTTGCATCACAGTGTGGTATGGCAACTGCAGTATTGCTGACCGCAAAGCCCTACAGCGGGTGGTGAAAACTGCCCATTCCATCACTGGGGTTACCCTTATGACAGACGGTGCTTGAGGAAAGCTCTAAGCATCATCAAAGACCCCACACACCCCAGCTACAGACTGTATGACCCTCTACCATCTGGACAACGGTACCGGAGCATTCGGGCCCGGACTACCAGACTCAGAGACAGTTTTTACCCCCGCACTATCAAACTGTTAAACTCCCAGCCTCTCTCACTCTCACCTCAGCTCTCACCTATGATCTGAACCTCACAGTGCCTTCTTTCTTACCAAAAAACTCACACATTGAAATCTACCTCTACCTTACATGTCAAAAAGCTCACTCCCCATAGTTTCTATCCTTTTATTTCATTCTGTTGATGCATGTTTTTGTACATTGCCTGTTGTCTCTGTCTTTCTATTAAAATACAATTGTATTGTTGTTTTTTGTACTACGTATTGTCTGAGAACTAGCTAAATAGCAAATTTGTTATACCATATACCTGTATATGAGTATAATGACAATGAACTTGAACTTGAGTCACTCAGGATATAGGGAAATGGTAAGCTATGGCGGGCAGAAATCTTTTTATCATATGTGAGTGTCAGCTTCACCGAATTGTTTGAGAACAAGCAGATGTCAGAGCCTCGGCCGTGTCTGCAAGACCGCGGAAGAGACCGATTTTTCATAATTGCATCTCTTCCGTTTTGTCAGTTCACAAAAGCCGTTACAGAATGGGGGCAAACAGCCCTTCAGTCATGGATGTGCTCATTCATTTCATGTGCTGCCAGGGCTTTGTGGTGGCAGCACTGAAGCAGGGAGCAGTCTGGTGCTTGGCAGGACCGGTGGAGATAGCAGACGAGCTCTCCCTTTCTAAACCAGAGTTCTCAGTCCATGTTGCCGAGTTACAGACGAGCAGAAGCTTGGGGAAAACTTTTCGATGCGTGTGAGGAAACCTTTTGCAATAAGGAGGCAGGACTAAACAACCTGCTTTCATTAGGATTGCCAAGAGAAATCTCTCTGTATACTAATATCATAAAACTATGTATTTACCCACTTCTCCACCAGTTGGGCAATAGACAGTTCTGCATCGGAATACAAATATGAGTGTATTTTCAGAGTTAGTTATTTATCCCATTTGTCCATACCAAACATAAGTTGTTATTTTTAATGCTTGTTATGACTTTTCTGTCCTATGTGAACTATTAAAAATGATTGCAGAAGTGATACATCAGTCACAGTATATATAGTCTGCCAGATATGTATATATACTGTGATGGAGAATGACACTTGGGCTGTCCATGATGTGATGCAGGATGCAAGTAATGTCCAATCGAATCTAACAGAATTTGCTCAAAAGCCCGTTCCATTAAATACACATTTACAATGTAGGCATGATCGATGGTGGGTAAGTGCAAACAATAGTGTTTTCTGCAGACTGTGGACATATTAAATGTCAGATGTGGTGAGACCGGGCTTAGATGCATAGAATAATTGATTAGATGTCACAACATAGCTGGATTGTCACAAACCAAATTCATACAGTACAAGTTGGATCTTCCTGCCATCACAGATTGGGTGAGGTCCGAAGTAAGAAGTCTGTTTAATCATTTTTCAGGGGAAAATGGATTCTGCATCTCGTATATAACGTGAATTCAATTTCTTGGGTAGGGATGGCGGGTCCAGAGAGTCTTTGCATCATTGTTGCAAACCCTAGAGTTGGAACTTACTGGCTATACAGAGCAGCAACTGTTGAATGGAAATCAGTTTTTCTACGAAGCTGTTACTGCTTGGGACCAGGGGTCTCACTACACAGAGTGAGCTCAGTTTTTCTCTCTCTCTCTCTCCCTGCAGTGGACTGTGAATGGCCAGCTCCGAGTCGGGTTCTTCACCACCAAAGCTGTCTCTGCTGGCACGGAGCTCACCTTTGACTACCAGTTCCAGAGATACGGGTGAGTCTCTGTTCTGACTCGATGTCATAGCGTGGCAGCTCTACCCAGTTTTTGTAGCTGACACTTTCTTCCTCAGCCCATATAACACTGATGCTGAGACCTCTAGTCCTCTCTTTGCAGCTTGCCGTGACTTTGCGTGGCTTTCTAAAAACCTAAGCTCACGGATGGGTGGTCCAGACTTAATTAGCGATTCTGTATCCCCTCTGCTGTGCTTTGAACCTGTGGACTCTCAGCCCTACATATGTTTCCCCTCATAGGAAAGAGGCCCAGAAGTGTTTCTGCGGAGCAACCAGTTGCAGAGGATTCTTAGGCGGGGAGAATCGAGTCAGTATCCGGGCCGCTGGTGGAAAAATGAAGAAGGAGCGAACCCGGAAGAAGGACTCGGTGAGCGAGCTGGGCCGCTTCATGCGCAGGACCAGACGTCCACATTCCCACTGTTGTATTTGTGTGGCTAGGCCAAAGAATTGATCTTGAGCGCGCTTAACTTCATCTGCAGTTTGCATCACAGATAATCCACAAGCAGTTAATCTTAAACCACTTTTAGTTTAGGTTTTATTTTACATGCGAAAGTGACCACATACCTTAGTCCCTTCTTTCAAGCCACACTAAGTTTGTTTTCATTTAATGCATGCAGTATGGATAGAGAATGAGGTATCGATCCAGATTTGCTATAAACCTGCTGTGAACAGGGACAGGGAGTAGGCAAGCTGTCTTCATTTGGGTGCCATAAACCTGTGTTTCTGGTCTGTGGTGTCGCCCCATTCTGTTTCTTGTGTAATAACAAAGTGCAGCGTGTGGAAATGTTAAACCTTTCACCTGCAACTATTGTGGCCTCCTTTCAATAGCGCTTTCTCAAGTGGCAAGGCTGCATGTGTTGTCAGTGCAGCTGGGATGTTCTGCACACCCATCCGATCGTGTGTGGTTGATGAGTCCCTTCCCGAGGGCATATGTGCAGAAGAGCTGGTTACCGGACTGCTAGATGAAGTTAAAGAAATAGAGAGCCTGCTTTCGTTTCATAAATGGCCCGTGTTCCCAGATGTATATGCTATAAATGACGATTCTTTCTGTGGTACAGTTTTGGTTAATTCTCACCTAAAATTACAAAGTTGCCGGGCAGCTTGAATTTGAATATTTTAAGATGGGTCTATGTACTGAAGATAAATCTTTGGAACATAGGGTTATTTGTTAACAAGTAAACTTGCAGTTAAGCTGGTTGCTGTATTTACTGGACAGGTTGGGCAGATTTAATTTAAAAATTTTATTTTTTCAGGTGTTATTTATTTAAAAGACCAGATTATATAAGGATTAAGACGCTTAGTAACTATGTGAATGCTCATACAGGGAGTCCTCAATGGGTACAGTAAAAAAGAAGAGCATCGATTTTAAGATGGGAATTATTCCCAAGAAGAAGTATTGGAAATGGGGATTATTGGGGATCAGGAGGACATTCATTTTCCCTGGAGGAAGTTAGGTGTGACACGTCTCCATAAGTATCAATATATTTCAGCAGTAATAGTGGCAGTGCAGGATATGACAGTAGTGCACATTCATATTTTCTGTGTGTAAACATAACTGTTACTGTAATGACCCATTAAGTTGAGCACTTAAATGTAATTTAAGCTCATCTGAAACGTTTTAGAATTACCTAGAATTTGAAAATTAACATTGAGAGAGCGATGAGCGATTTTGTGTTAGATAATTTGTGTGAGAGTGAGTGAGTGAACATTTAAACATTAAACATAATTTAAAATTTTGATAATTTTAATATGTATTGTGTAATATATAGTAGTAAATAGTTACATGAAGTGCTGTATGTAAATAAGGATATCTAATACTGTATGGAGTAAAATTACTTTTTTAGCTTACCTAACAACGTAGTCTGCTTGTGCTTTTCAACACTTTTCTTTGTTGGGGTCCTTTGAGTTCAGAGGACAAAGTTGGGGCACAGAAAACGTAAAAAAAGGGCTTAGGCAGAGAGTTATAAAATACTTCTGTCAGATACGTACGTCTGCAATGATTTGTATATACTGTAGTACAAAACTATTTTGCAGTGGTTTTACTTGACATCTTTTACATTGGACTTTGGTTTTTAGGGTTGGGTTTGGGTTCATAAAGTTGGGGAATTTTTACACCCATTGTCGTGAAAAATCAAAGGCGTAAAAGCGGGGAGACATTAATCGGGAACCCCCGTTCACTATAAACTTCAGTCATGCATGAAAGTATTGACACACATTCTAGCTTTAACTTGTTCAGTGCGATGCTTTTCAGGTGATTTGGGCTTTAGTGAATCGGATGAGGCAATTAGAGCATAAAAGGCCAAGATTCCGGGAGTTCAGTGGTCTTAATTTATGTAAGTCAGTCAGAAAGGGAAAGTGAAGAACATTTCACAGCACTTTGCAGGTGTTTCAGGGTGTGAGCAGCTTTGCCTTTTTATGAGCCTGCCAGAGATTTTGACATCAAGCTGGGGGACCCTGGGTGTGTTGAATTTTAAATGCTGAAAACCCAGGACTGTGTTACAGAAACATTAGGCTGTACTCAGTATGTTTCATTTGTCTCTATAATTGCTAATGTGGGTTCAGAGGAACTGTTGTCATCATCCTTTTTGACTTCAGGGTTTTGTAATGGCTTACTGTTTGGGTACTTCCATCTTTGCACAGCAGTGCTGCTGTTCAGGTGTTGTTTGTCTGGCATTGCTTAGCTGCCAGGGGGGAAACATCAGACATCTCAGATGTCTGATATTCTTAACATTGCAATATCTGTTTTGACAGCTGTTTGCGTGATCTTTTCCGCAGGTAAGTTTTCTACAGCTGTGTTTTTTTCCCGGGGATATAAGACTATGTAAAAATCTGAAATAGGTCATGGGTAGTCACTGTCTTGCAGCTGCACAGCTGCTCTTTGGTGTCCTATCTGGCGCTGTAGGTGTTACACATACACATAGTGTAGAGATTTAAGGTTCTACACCCCTGTAGTTGAACACGTACTGCTAATGCTCTTGTCTGAGAGGTTTTGTACTGGACTGTCTTGATCTGTGAAAATAAATATGGGTGATAAACTGTAATCCTTCATGTGAAGGAACAAGTAATAGGTTTATTCCATGCTGAAAAAAAGAAGAAAGAGAACACAACGTTTCGGCCGTGGAGCCTTCTTCAGGTGTGCAAATAGCATACTTCATTACACTGTGTTTTAACGTAAAACACCTTTTTATTTTTGCAAATAATCTCATGGAGAACTGTAGTAGTTCAGGTGGGTAGCTGCGTCAGCATGCGTAGGCTGCAAAGGAACAAGTAATAGGTTCATTACACAATGTTTCGGCCGTGGAGCCTTGACACCTGAAGAAGGCTCCACGGCCAAAACGTTGTGTTCTCTTTCTTCTTTTTTTCAGCATGGAATAAACCTATTACTTGTTCCTTTGCAGCCTACGCATGCTGACACAGCTACCCACCTGAACTACTACATCCTTCATGTGAAGCTGTGTGTCTGTGTGTAGAATGCTGTGTTGATTGCTGTGTGTAAGCAGTGTGATGAGCTGCTCTGTGCTGCCCTCTTCAGGTGGATGAGGAGCTCGAAGCACTGCTGGAGAACGGGGAGGGACTGTCTGATGAGAAGCAGGTGGTGTCCTTGTGCCGGCTCATGGTAAGAGTAGAAACCATGGAGCAGAAGTTCACCTGCCTCAAACTCATCCAGGTAAGTGTGTTGACGCGGTCTCTGACTGTGAATATATACCTATTATTTTTTGTCAAGTTAACTCAATGTTGCTACTCAGTTATTTACTTGTAATGGGTTAAAAATCAAGCTGCACATTCGGTTCTATATTTCACAGCAAGGTGTGATTAATTCAAGTGGGGTACATCTCATTTGAGATTTTTACAATTTTGCCATCATGCATGCTTTATATATATTTATTCCTGAATGATCATGGTGGTTTAAGTGCAAAGTATGGCTTAGCAAAACCCATCTGATAGTGTTGCAGAAATCCAGAACTGTAAGGATAATAATCATATTGAAGCTAATTAGACTTGATTAAACTATCAGATGGGCCTCTTTAGCCTCACCTGAGCCAGGATTGTAGTCCACAGGTATGCAACAACTCTTCACATATAATCCAGGATAGCTCAATTGTGAAAAATATATAAAAAGGAAAGATGCAGTGTGCTCCATAAGAGAGTTATATTTGTTGGCAGTATCGTTATTTTCAGCTTTCATATGTAAGACATGCCACTGCGTCACCCTGCCTACTGTTGTGTTACAGTGTGATCAGTGCTACTCCTCAATAAGTGCCCTTAAATCTCATGAAACATTCTTTGCATTGTTCTCATTTATAGCGATCATGCTTTCAATTCCAGTCGTAGTCAATTATCACACCTTGTGCCTATTGCTTGCTGAGAAAGGCTGCATTGTAAGAAGCAGTTAGAAAATGGCTGGATGTAGTCAATTATATTTACATGTGTACTGAAAAGGAATGTTAGTATTACTTAGTGTGCGTAAAACCACCTTAATTTATGAAATTGTGAAGTCTCGAGTTGATAATATAGATTCTCCAACAGATTATGAAGATAAGATCACTTTATTAGCCATATACAATTTATTGCATTAGGAATTTCTTTTCGCATACCCCAGCTTGCTCTCCATGAGACACACGTGCACACAGACAGGAGAGAGAAGCTTGGGGTCAGAGCACAGGGTCAGCCATTTATACGGCACCACTGGAGCAGCTGGGGTTAAGGGCCTTGTTCAGGGGCCCAACAGAGTAGGATTTCTCTGCCGGCCGTGGGATTTGAACTGGCAACCTTCCAGCCACAGGTGCAGATCCTGTGGCACCGCTCCGCCCCCCTTTTAGAAGTAGAAGATCATGCTGCTAGGTTGTGAATCTCACTGTTGAGTGGTGCTCTGACTGGGTTGCTTGTTGTGCCGTACAGAACACTCAGAACCCAGCATGCCTGAAGCAGTTCCTGGATCACCATGGCCTTTCCCTGCTCTGGATCTTCATGGTGGAGCTGTCTGAGGGCAAAGGCAACTCCAGCAACAATATCAAACTGCAGCTGGAGGTGAGGGCAGGCCGCAGACTAAAAAGCTGCAACATGCTCAGACAGCGAGACTGACAAATCGAAATATTGTCATCTCAGAAATTGCAAGCACCTCCTGTCTTTGACCTTACCTATGTGAACAAATTTTGAATTCCTCATAGGTTTCCTTTATTCTCTATAATGTAGAACTATTTGTATCTAAATTGCTTTGAGATACCTGTTAAGAGAATTTCAGTGTAAATTTTCATTTTACGTGATATTTTTAACTCCTCTGGCTGGCCTCCTATCCCTGTCTTTTCGGCTTGTGTCAATTTTTTTCTTCATTTGCTTGAAATGTAGTAAAAATGACGTTGAAAACATTTAGGATTCCAGGGATGTTTACGTTAGGTAATCATTCTCTCCTCCACTCAATCACTTTTTCTTCACTGCTACACTCTTTACAACTATCAGGAAGCTTGTTTACCTGACTAATTGCAGACAGTACCACCTCTGTCCCACAACTCCCAGTCACAGATGCTGGTGACATGATCCAGGCTCAAACCTGCGATCACAGAGCTCAGCCTGTGCTTGGCTGAGACACTTGTGAGGTCCCTATTCATTCTTGCCTCATTCTTTTCTGGTTTTCATTTCAGAAGAGTTTATCATTTGAATTTGAGAAGCAATCTTTGTATAAACGTTTTAACCTATTTATGTTCCTCGGCCTTCGGTCGCCACGACACATTTGTTCCCTAAGTGTGCTGAAATGTTAACCGTTAAGCTTGAATTTCTTCATCGTTTATCAGTTTGTCATTGTGCTGTCCTCTGCCTGCAGATCATGAAGAGCCTGGCAGTGTTGCCCATCTCCACAAAGAATATGCTGGAGGAAAGCCGCGTGCTCCACTTCATCCAGCGCTGGGCCCAGACGAAGACCCTGCTCCCTGCTGCAGAGCTGGATGGCTACTCCAGTGAGAATACATCCCGTGCCCAGACGCCTCTGAACACCCCCGACGGCCCCCCTGCCAAACCCGGCCCCGAGCTTGACAGTGAGACGCCCAAGAGGGCTGTGTACCGCCGCCTGAAGATCATCAGCGAGAACAGCATGGACAGTGCCATCTCTGACGCTAGTAAGGCCTCTGATGGGAAGGAGGATGACGAAGAGGAAGAGGAGGAAGAAGAGGAGGCCGATTCTTCTCAGGCTGATCCCACTGAAAATGGTCAGGCTCAGTCGGAGGCAGCAGGAGAGCTGCAGACTGATGGAGAAGGGCAGGCAAGGGAGGAAAGGCTAGAGCCCGTCCAGTTCGCCAGCAGTGCTGAGGCCAAGAAGCAGGAGAGCCAGGAGGCGGTGGAGAAGGAGGAAGAGGGCAAGGAGGAGGAAGCACAGCCCAGCCAGGCCGAAGAAGCAGCAGGCGAGTCGGAGCCGGAGATTCGGGTCTTGCAGGAAGAACAGAGCCAACCCGCTGCAACTGAGGCCTGCAAGCTGGAGGAGACGGGTGCTGCAGAGGCCACTGTTACGGAAGCGACTCCTGCACCGGAGCCTGTTGCCACCGAGTCGGTCACTACTGCCGAGACCGTTCCTGCGGAGACAGTGGCTACAGAGTCCATTGGAGCAGGGGAAACGGTTGCTGTGGAGACGCCCTCACAGGACGAGGAGGAGGGCGTGTCCGATGTGGAGAGTGAGCGCAGCCAGGAGCCAGTGCATAAGGCTGTGGACATCAGTGACATGGCTGCCCGTCTGCTGGACAGCTGGAAAGACCTGAAGGTACTGCACCGTTCCTGTAGTTACAGCTATGTACACTCAGTAGTAACACAGGCCAGGCTGGGTGCACGAGGTCTCCTTTGAAACATTGAAGGAGACCAGGATGTTCATTACCAGCCTGCAAGTCTGTGAAGTTGTTTGACAAACTGCAGCCACATCTTGAAATCCCTGCCCTTTTCATCTTGAGGTGAATTTACGATTACGAGACTTAAGCAATTCATACAATGTGTCATACAAATCATACAGCTTTAACCAAATAACCTAGAAAATTATGCACTTAACCAGAAATATTGAATCATTTCATTAGATATTGAAGTGCTATACTTAGTTTAAATAGTAGAATAGTTTTAAACTAAGTGTAGTTTAGAATAGTTGAATTAAAACAGACATAGATGGTATAGTGCATAGCTTTTCTTTTCCTTATGAAAGGATTAGGAAAGAACTGTTTTTATTCATATTTATTCATTTGGATAAAAGCCGATATGACAGAAATTCTTATCGTACTGTGTGAACCCCAAAGAAATTTCAAAGTGACTTTAGTTTGGACTTTTTACAAGATTATAGGAGAGCAGGTGATGCTGTCTGCTTGGTATGGGCTTCGTCCTTCTAGGTAGGGTAGTGTGGAGAATTGAGGAAATTAATTGCTGGATTCAACAGTGCTGCAGCTGGGTTCTTGTTCACAGGCCAATTTATTTCAATTTTCTGTTGGAGACCCTTTTTAAATTTGCTTTCAGCTCTTAAAAAGCTCAATTAAATCTGTAATTGGAATGAACCCCGTGCTCATTAGTGTGTTTTGGGACTGCCTTCACTCAGGTGTGCAAGCTTAAATATAACTACTTAGACTCACTGTGGGAGTTGTCTGATAGAGTGTCATTCCCACATATCTGTTAATTATCTATTAATCACCTATTAAGAGTTGTTCAGTCAGAAATAAGGAAGTAAAGTCTTAATTGGCAAGTTGAGGAGAGTCTTCATGAAGTACTGCGTATTGAAGTTTGACATGGGTAGTTTGAAATCAAGGCCTGAGAATGGATAAAAGGCTAAACCAGCATAAGGTCAGTTACCGGCACCAGTTAGCACTGGTAATGACGGCAGCAGTTGGAACAAAAACCAGCAGACATGGGGTAGTCCAGTGCCGGGAGTGGAAACCAGCGATAGAGGCTGGGGCAAGGTTGTGAAGTGGGAGTAGTAACACTCTCGCCTTTTCACAGGAGGTGTACAGAATACCCAAGAAGAGCCAAGTGGAAAAAGAGCCCTCTGGTATGACCGCTTTCTTTTATTCCTACCCAAATGCCAGCTCTCTCATGTTCTGTTGCTCCTTTTCTGAGCTCTGTACAGGATTTATGTACATTTTACCTCTTTTTCACCTTGTATCTGTGTTGCTTGTTGCACAAGATAACTTGTATTAAATTTTCATCATGTCCACATTTTAGTCTTTAATGACCGAAATTGTAAACAGCTGTGCCTTGAACTCTACACAAACATCTTAACAGATGAGAGAGCCGGTGAAGATTTAGCTGTATCATTTCAGTGAGTCGCACAGTACTTATTAAAACTCTATAATAACATAGCTATCAGATTTTATTTAATGAAGGTCAGTAGAAATGTGACTTATTACCATCCGTTTTTGCTTTGGGTGGGTAAGCCGTTTGTCAAAAGTGCTTTAAGTTATAATCACGTTGCTCTTTATTTGTTTCATTGCTTTCTGTCACGGACGTATTAGTTGTGTAATAGTTTTCCCAGCCACGTAGCTGCTGTTGCTGTTCCTCCTCCTCCTCCGCAGCTCCCAGTTGGGATTGGTTTCAGTGAGATTTCCTCCCCCTGTCCTGCAGAGCGGAGTCGGGACGGCTCCAACGCGCGGGAACCCCCACTGACGCCCCGCACCCCTTCCAGCAGCCGCGAGCGGGACCGGGAGAGGGAGCGGGACCGAGAGAGGGAGCGGGACCGGGACAGGGACGGAGAGAGGACGCCACGCAGCGCCGAGCGCCGCCGCCGCCGCTCCTCCCTCTCCCCCCCACCCTCTGCCTACGAGAGGAGCAGCCGGTGAGCGAGCTGGATAAGAGGGGCTGTGGGCTCCTCAAGAGTCCCCCCTCCAGAAGTCATCCTTAAACTGACAGTTTCTAAGCACTCAGAGCAGTTTCACGTTCATCACGCCAGCAAGACGATGGTTTAACAATGACCTGCGAGATCTCCTTCACTGTGGCTAAGATGAGAGTTGACAATACCCAATTACCACCCATTAAAAGAGAAGGAGAGTAACCGGAGATTTCTGAATTAAGTAGATGGAGAGACAACCCTGTCCTTATCTTAGTCTTGTCTTCTAATATATCCAAACTTGGAAATCGTGTAGCAACAGAAGAATTAAAGCCTTAAGTACTGCATGTAGAAAACCATTCTTGCAGCCCGTAGATGGCACTGTAGACTGGATTTTCTATTCAGTGATTTAGCACCACATTATTCCATCAATACTTTATTTCTGCAGCTTTATTTCCAACCAGTTCCTAGTTTTAAAGAAAACACTTTGCCGTTTACAACTCCGATGGAGAACGTGTTAATATGTTTGACAATTTTAGACATGCCCCTCCAGCCGGAGGATTCATTGTAATTGGAGGTGCAGTTCATTTATCACTTCAAGCCTGCACGCTCCTAATTCACAGAACTTGCAGTTTCACTGTGAGCTCCAAGGGCCCTTACCAGCTATTTCTCACCCTGCCTCAGAGGTGCTCTGGCATGCCAGGCTGCAGTCAGTTTAGGACATGACGCAGACTCAAGCCATGCTCTTAAAGGTGCTTGCTAAATGGTGTATTTTTGCATGACGTGTTGTCTTTTTAATGGCATTTGCAGACTGACCCCTGCACACCCCCCTATCCTCAGGTATGACCCCCCGAGCAGCAGTAAGAAGAAAGGCCGGACGAAAGAGAGGAACAAGCTGTCGACGGAAGAGCGCCGGAAGCTGTTTGAGCAGGAAGTGGCACAGCGAGAGGCCCAGAAACAACAGCAACAGCAGCTTCACACGCTGGCTGTCAGCTCACCCATGACCTACGATCCCCTGAGCTACGCTTCCAGTCCGCACCCAGGGTTCATGGGATACCCACCTGGATATCCTATGCAGACATATGTGGACCCCACCAACCCCAACGCCGGCAAGGTGCTGCTGCCAACTCCTCCCGGCGAACCCCTCTGTGGCACCCTGCCTTATGAGCAGACACCCCCCCAGCCCCTGCTTTCTGAGCCTAGCCTGGCCTCTCCTTCCCCAGCCTCCCAGCCGCAGCCCGTCTCCGGCCAGCATGTGCCCACGCCTCTCGAGGTCTCTGGCACGCCGCAGTACGTGCAGCCCAGTGTGCCACAGGACCCCGCTGTGGCCGTTCTCTCTGTGCCAGCGCAGACCCCCAGTCCACAGGTGCAGGGCCAGCAGGGCTATGCCCTCTGGGATCCAAGCACTCAGCAGGCCCTTACAGTGCAGGCACAGCCCCAGCAGTACCAGACTGCCCAGCCCCAGACTGCCATCTACTACCAGGGCCAGCCGTGCCAGGCTGTGTACAGCATCACTACACCCTACCCCCAGCCCAGCCCTCCTGTCATCCAGGTAAGATTTCACCCATCTTACTGAATCCTCAGCATATTTATTAAATGCGATTTTTCTATTATGTCACCTGACCTGTAATCGCCTTACCTGCAAAGGTGGATTGAAACAGTAACAGCAGAAGGAGAATATAAAATGCCTATCATATATTTGTGAGGGTATAAATAGTGCAGTTCAATACTGTTTGTTTTTCTCTTTTAGTGTCTCCATCCAAGTTGTAATGACACAATCAAAATCATTTACTTATTTTTTGACACTTAGGATTGTCACATGTGTTCATGGCAGTTTTTCACTAATCTAAGGCAGTAGGTAATTTGTGACGGAGCTCATGGGAGGCTGCCATGGTGACGTAACACCTCTAGGAAACCTAGACGGTATACAATTCTCCCATGGGAAGAGCAGAGCTGTGTGGCTCTGAGCCTATAAGCAACCATGACCCGCAAGAGCAGAGCTGCATCTGTCAAAAATGCAAGAGTACAACTAATGTACACAAAAAAAGTGATACTGGAATAGAAGGCTACACAGTTAACCCATGAGTAATTACAAATGTCAGGTGTCCCATCAATCCAATGCCTAATAATAGCACTCGTCATTATGAAGCGACAGTACAGCTTTTCTTTGACTTCATGCTGGGTATTGGCTGCAGTGGCTAACCATGCTCAGGCGTCCATGTATGTAGTAATCTTCAGGCTTATGTGCCAGAAGCATACAGATCACACTTTGGCTAACCTCTAATAATTGGCGCTCTTCTCTGCTCCTGCTTTTCCCCTGCAGAGCTATGCCCAACCTGCCACCAGCTATCTTCAGGGCCAGCAGGTCTATCACCAGCAAGGGATGGTATTGCAGCAGGCGGGTGTCACCACCATTGTCACGGCACAGACTGTCCAGCAGGTACGCCTTTGCAGTACTAAAACTGTTGATTTTCAGCATTGTGAATCAGCTGCAGACCTTTTCAGATAAACCAGAATCCAGCATTTATTATGAGGGATTGTGCAAATTCTAACACGTAGAACTGAAAAGGTATAAAATCCCCCTTTGGTAGCTTTCCTGCCTTGTCAGTGCAATCGGTTCCTAGAGTTTGCGGCTCTTAAAACCTAAAATGGATCAAGCTCCAGTATGTCTGACTTCCAGCCCTGAGTTTCCTTCCATGTCTCCTGCATTGCTTTCTTTGACATCCTGGAGTCTTTTCAAGTGTTCGCCTGGCTGTGCTCTTCGGCAGGAGCTGATGGTGTCGAACAGTCTGATGGACCTACCGCCGCCTTCGCCACCCAAACCCAAGACCATTGTCCTTCCACCCAACTGGAAAGCAGCACGTGACCCAGAGGGCAAGATCTACTACTACCATGTCATCACCAGGTAGAGCTGACTAAAACTCGTCTTCTCCCTCTCAAATGGGAGATTTATGTTTTTTTCACCTTACAGCGGCGTTCCAGCCGACAGAGTGACGTTTACCCACCAAGATCCTGAATTCATTTTTGGCCAGGGGCTCTTGTCTTTGTGGAGTTTGTCCGTTCTTGTTTCGTTTGTCTGGCACACTCTGGTTATCCATGCCTTCCCAAGCCATGCACATTAGGTTTGACTGGCTGTGCTAGTTTGTCCCACCTGGAATGTGGGAAAGAGGGCTGGTCTCCAGCATTATTGCCCCATTCCATGGGCAAAGGGATCACAGTGTCCTGTATGTGTTTTATGAGGTTAGAAGGGTGGATGAAAACACCAGTCCACAGACGCAGGGCACTCAGCAGGCCCTAACAGTGCAGGCACAACCCCAGACTGCCATTTCTCCAACACATACATTCAATATGTGATATCACCAGTATCAAGTGATGTGATGCAAATACAATTTCAATATCCGAGCAATTGGTTCCGGGACCAGCCGCAGTGAATGGCAAGTTTTTGCATGAGGTACCTTTTGTGAATTTTAATATTTTTTTGTGGTTTATAGCAGGGGTGGCTTACCCTTGTCTTTAAAGTACCATAGTCCTGCAAGTGTTTTAGCATTGATCCTTAATCAATTTCTAAACATTCAAAAAATGTTTTGACCATGTAAGCAGATGAAATGTTCAGTTCTTGTAGTTTCAATATTTCAAATGACGACAGCATCGCTCTGTAGCTCTTAAAGAGCACAGCAGGCCTTTTCTGATTGAACTGACATTCTTAACATGTATTCCAGGTCTTTACAAATTGATGAATTGAAGTTGCCCTTTCTTGAGTTGGCTTCTCTTGACTTGCAGAAAGAATGCTAAGTAAAAGATTGCTCGAACCAACAAGTGGAGTTTTTTAAACTACTTTTACATGATGTTAAGCTTAGCATTTTTGTTGTTGGGTTCAAGGGTTGGTCCTGTTTTCTAAGAAGAATTCAAGCTGCTTCAGTCAGATGGACCCTTATCAGTGACATATATCCACTTGATTCCCCTAATCTGTCTTCTTATCTGATTTCTTCTTGCAGACTGCATGCAGATCGTTTTATAGCCATCCCTAGTGTTAAATGTCATTTGAATAGCACATCATTGGCATGTATCTCTTACAGTATCTGTTGTTTTTTTCCATATTCATAGCTGCTTTCAGTGCATTGTGTTCTAGGAATCCAGTTACTGTACCATTATACAAAAGCAGTAGTATCTTAAAGAAATCTAGTATGCAGGATCCCAGAAAGTTTTAAATGATCACCCTTGGAGTTATAGTTGTAATTCGAAGCCCAACAAGAAACTAAATCCTAATAAGTCTGAGTTGTTTCTGTTACAGTTGCTCGTTTTTATGATAGCAGGATTCGGTGTTATAGATTAATCTCTTCATCAATATATTAATGCTGAATTAGCTTAAAATGTGCTTGTCTGAGGGAGTGGGGCCTTATTATTGTTAGCAGAAACAAAGCTGGAGTAGCACAGAAAAGATAATCCTGACTGTCTGGAATCTGTCACGGTAGTGGTCGCTGTTGACATCTGCTCCCCGCTGGGCCTTGGCATCCTGTAAAGACCAGGTGCAGCTGCTGATGACGAACAGGATCAATCTGGAGGACAGTGTCGGTTTGAAGAACTTCCATGTAACTTATGGACATGTTTGCGGCTCAAGATTCTGCCTCCAAGGATGCAGTTCATCAACGAAGTCAAACCGATGTAAACACTCCATAACTCGTTCATCGTTGGTTTTGTCTGCTCTCACTTTTTGCATTCAGATCCCCCTTGATCAAAAGCATATGTTGTGGCCCCTTGTGGGCTACATACTTTACTTGCCATTAGTCAGTCCTTTTCATCCTCTGCCCCATTGGTAGGTACACAGAACTACAGAATGACGAAGTGACAATATTTGGAATCAAACCTTACTCTGATGATCCTATCAGAGTCACATTCTACGAGAGACTTGGCCTGGACTTTGATCATGATGATGGCTGCTTCACTCTACTGTCTGTGTAATCTTTTCATGAGGAAATGATAGCTGAGACAATGCTCATTACCTTGAATCATGAGCAGAGCCATCTGCTCTGGCCAATACCAAGAAGGCGCAAGTTGTCTCATAAATGATGTTGATGTTCCAAGTGCCGAGACGAACTGTCATTTTGAACCACGGGGATCTTTTTATAGCCTTGTGTCTCAGTTGTGAGCAGGAGGCTAAGCTGAGGAATCCTTCAAGAAATGGCTAAATAGATTCTGTGACTGATTCAACTCTACTAGTAATCAAATGCATATGGTGGCCCATTTGGTTTCTTCTTGTTTATATCTTTTATCCTCTCAGGATATTTTGTCAATTAACAGCAGCAAGCTAACAAGTATGCCACAGATCTGTGATGAAGTTGATGAAGGTAGCAGCCTGCCATTTTTGCTGTATCGTGTTTTGAGTCTGTCTCTGATAAAAGTTCTCATGCAGGCTGCAGATGTCTTGCATCTGATTCTAATCTTCTCTGTAGGCTTCTTTCTCAGTGTTTGGAAGGGAACTCATTTAGACTCTAAAAGAATGCCAGTGTTTTAGGTGTCTGAATTTCCCCCCCTTAAAAAGCTGATCAGTTGTGTCATCTTTTTGTTCGAATTTTATAGCGTGTTTATAGGCTAGCCAGAGATTTGAAGGCTGTTTAATCTTCAAAGGTTTGTTAAATGTTCACATAGTGGTGCAAGTTGCCTACCAGTTTCGCATTGGTTTAAGTCTATTTTGGAATTGCCCTCACACAGTAAAGTGGCATCATGCTAAGAATCAATTAAGCTCTCCTGGCTCTTTAAATAGGTTTCTGTAAATGGGATTGGATTGGCATGTTCTCCCTAGGTAACTCATTTGCTACAAGAATATTTCTCTACTGCCTTTTAGTATTTAAGCCATCTTAATCTGTTCTTTTACGTTTGATACTCCAAAGCGTTAGTTTTGAAAATAACTGAAAAACCAAATAAAAAACTCAAAATGTAAACTATCAAATCTTATGTCTATTAGAGATGTTTTATTATGCTGTGGCACAGAACAGCCCATGCAGTGTATTGCAGCTTTAGAGAAATGACGGAACTGAAATCATATTAGAGCAGATAATTAGGTATATGGTAGGTTAGGTGTCTTGGTTAAAAAACTTTTTTTTTTCAAAATTTGTCGTCCGACATGATCAGCTATCAGTATTTCATCAATTTCATCAATTGATGAAATTAATCAATTTCCCTATGGGATTAATAAAGTCTTATCTATCTTTCTATTTGTGGATGAAACCAGAGTCTCATTGTCAGTTCAGGGAATGGAGACTTACCAGCAGATAATGGATCAGTATGCCCATCCAAAGGCCAGGAAAAAGTGTTTAAAACAACCATTGAATCAATCTAGGCTTATTGAAGTCCCCTACCTTAGGAAGAATGAAAACTTGGAGCTCTCTTGTCCCCTTGGAAAACACAAGTGCCTCTGTTTGTCCCACACCTCCTTTGTCCTAATCAACCTGTCTGCCACTATGAGCACAGTAACCCTGCCACTAAGTGCTGCTGGTCAGTGTGACCTGTTTAGGAAAAAAGGGTGTTTCTGTGCTACTAAACATCTACTGTAAATCTAAACGTCCTTCTGTTAATCTCTACTTTTTTTAGTCACAGTTGGTTGCTCTTTACTCACTGCAGTGTTGCCTTAGTAGTGATGTGAGGCACTGGTGTAATTTTGTTCTTGTATTGCCCCCCGTAGGCAGACGCAGTGGGACCCCCCCTGCTGGGAGGGCGGCAGCGATGATGCCAGTGTGGATCATGAAGCCGAGATGGACCTGGGGACACCTACTTACGATGAAAACCCCACTAAGGTAACCCTTGCCCTCGTTTGAAAGAATGTAGAGAAGTTCCTTTCTCACTGGCAGGTTTTGTGTTTTGGTCCTTCGTATGAATTAGCTAAATTTTGGATGACCATTTGTTTTATAACGTTTGCGTGGTGGATATCTACAAAATGTGATAATGTGTGCTGCATTATTTACCAATCTGACATAGATATCAAGTTTAGCATATTACTGCAGTTCAACAGTGTATTTGTTTCAGACAGATGAACTAATTTCTCGAAACCAGTTCTGGCTTGCAGGCTGAGACCCCTTGTTAATTTTGTACAATACCTGCTCTGTGAATCCATCCTAGAAACATCAGATCACCTCAGAGAAATGAGGTGAAGTGCATCTCCTTCTAAAGGAAACGACAGGCCCTGAGGACGTGGTTTTCCTTTCGGACTTTCTGTTCGATTGCTACAGCGTTGCTCTCCTGTAGGTTCTGTTTTCTTCAGAGCTCTTGACTCCCAGTTGCAAGGAAGCAAGTTGTGCTAAATATGATTTTTATCACTTCAGTTCTTATGAGCTGCAGACTTCTGCTCTGGGTGCTGAATTTTGCACATATGGAGTTGACATTAAAATTTTAAGAATCGGGTTCTTCCAGGTCAGATCCCATGTCAGAACAGCCTTACAACTTTGAACTAAAAAACACATTTGTCTATAATTGATTTTCTCATCTAAAAGATTGGCATAAAAATTGTCATAACTCCTGTCAAAAAATTGTTTTTAAACTCCTTGTGATGTTGATGTTCATGTCATAAGGCATGAACATCAACGTCCTGCAATTTTCTTCAACGGAAATTACATTTTTTTTACTTCTTGGGTTGAAACTTGCACTTCTGCCTGTGAGACCGTGATGGTAAGTTGAGCCTCAGCTGGACAGACCTGGGAGGCCCAAATGGGTTGTGACAGTGCCCTGGGAACACCTGGCAGATGCCGCCATATGGGATGAGTTCAATTCCCACATCCAGAAAAGTTTCTCCTCTGTAGCTGGGGGCATTGAGTCTGAATGGACCTTGTGCAAGACCGCAGTTGCTGGCTGCAGTGGCCAGAAAGTGGTCGGTGACTGTTTTGGTGGGTATCCTAGGACCTGCTGGTGGACACCAGTAGTGAGGCAAGCCATCAGGGCTTCCATGCATTGCTTGCATGGGGCCTCTGGATCTGGCAGAGAGGTACCTACGGGCCAAGAGGGCTTTAGCTGCCGTGCTCGCTGAAGCATAGGCCTGGTATGACAGGAGTTCAAAGAAGCAATGGAGGTTGGCTCAGGGGGTGTTGCAGCAAACCATTCGATGGCTCGGGAAGGGAAAAGTTGACCTTGACTGGGAATATCATTGGGAGGTGGAAGGAGTGCTTAGAGGAATTTCTGAATCCGATGGACATGCCTTCCTTTCAGGAGACAGTCTGGTGGTTCTGGGTCCATTTCTGACGCTGAGGTCAATGCAGTGAACTGTCGTGGTGGAGCTGCAGGAGTGGATGAGATCTGGCCAGAAATGCTGAAGGCGCTGGATGTTGTTGGGGTGTTGGCCTTTACACACCTCTTCAATGTTATGTGGAAGGTGGGGACAGTACCTCTGCATTGACAGACTGGGGTTGTGGTCCCCATTTAAAAAAAAAAACAGTGAACCAGAGATGTGTTCCTACTACAGAGGGATCACACTCGTCAGCCTCCCCAGGAAAGTCTTGCCAGGGTGCTGGAAAGGAGAGCCCATCAGATAGCCAAGCCTCAACTACATTGAGGAGCAAAGTGGATTCTGTCCTGTCCCTGGAACAGCAGAACAACTCTTTACCCTTGCACCGATTTTTGAGGGGACATGGGAGTTTGCCTTCCCTGTGCACACTTGTTGTGTGGATTTGGAGATTGCTTACGCCCATGTACCCAGCGATATCTTGTCAGAGGTGAAGCGGGAATATGGGATGCTGGGGCTACTTCTGCGTGCCATTTCGTCCCTGTATTTACACAGCAAGAGCTGTGATCTTCATGGAAGGATATCAAGGTGCAGCCATGTTCCCACTGGAATGTATCAAGTTTGGGGATGTGAGGGTTGCATCTCGGTTGTTTATGGATGATATTGTTCACTTTGCCTCATCTGACTGTGATCTCTGCCACACACTGGAGAGGTTCACAGCTGGTTGTGGCATGGTCAGATGAGGGTCAGTACCTCCAAATCCGAGGTCATGGTTCTCTACTGGAAAAGAGTGGTTATCGCTCTCAAGGTGAGAGGAGAAGAGCTGCCCCAAGTGGAGGAGTTTAAGTACCTTGGGGTCCTGTTCACAAGTGAGGGCAGAGGGGATCATGAGATTGACCAGAGGATCGGTGCAGTGGCGGCAGTCATGCTGACGCTGTGGTGGTGGAAGTGGGAGCTGAGTTTTAAGACAGTGAAGAAAGAAATTGCAGGTCCAAGCAGCAGAAGTGAGGTTTCTTTGTTGGGTGCTGTGCTTACTCTCTGTGACAGGGTGAGGAGCGGGAAGATCTTGGAGTAGAGTCGCAGCTCCTCCAGATCGAGAGGAGCCATTCGAGGTGGCTCGGGCATTTGCTGATGATGCCCCCTGGGTGACTCCCACTAGAGATGTACCAGGCATGATGTACCGGGAAGAGACCTCAGGACGCACTGATGGGATTATATCTCTCTGGGAACATCTGGGAATCCTCTAGGAGGAGCTGGAGACTGTTGCTGGGGAAAGGGAAAATGGGCTGAACGAAGTAGAAAATGATGATGAAGTAGTAGTGGTAGCAAGGTCATTCATCTACGAGATTATGCTGTGGTCAGGTAATGAATATTAACTTCTGTATCTGGAATAACTTTCAGAACAGAAATTAATTGATAAAAGGAACATTTAGGCAACAATAGGGATAAGTGGTACCCTTCCTTTTTTTACCTCTCTTTTTATGTATATCTTCACTGGGGGCATGGTCTGTTGGACAAAGCAGAAAAATAAAGTTTGTATAAACACCTGCAGCTAGGGACCTCAAAGTGGAGTGGAGCTGTAAACTAGGCATTTCTCTGACTCTGGTTCTCAGGGCTCAGTTTGTTGCACAGCCTTGTGGACCATCCAGATGCTGCACATACAGTTCGTGATGATGGCAGCATGTGGTATGTCTCACGTCTGTAGTTAATCAGTGGTAGAAATGTTGACAAGGTTTCAAAATTGATTGCAAACGTCTGCTCCAGAAACTTTTTTTTTCCACTTTGTCCTACAGAGGCATGTGAATAGGGTGTTGGCATCTATTTTGAGGGTACTCAGTATATTCTTCACAGAAGACTGAGGGGGAACCCCTCTGTGTCCCAGTTGTTGCTGTCTGTTTAAGCTTCAGTTCAGAAAGTCAGATGGCCAGAGCGCAGCCCAAGGTCTAGTTATATGAACAAAAGTTAGCAGATGAAATGCATTTCCTTGCTCTGGGTGTTTGTATAGTCTTTCATTTTTTTGGAGGGTTAGGGTTACATGTGGAACTTTAAAATTCAAAGTGTAACTCAAATTGGAGATATATTTATAATAATAAGGAGAATACCTTATTAATGATGTTATTTTGTGATGCAAGACATACAATTACAGTCGAGTCATAGCTTATTGAAGGGGAGAAGTGTCTCATTCTTGGATTAGTTTCAATTCTGTGAAACCCACTAAATTTGGCAGCAGTTAGCCAGTTAGGGGGTCTGTTGATTACCCTCAAGGTCCTTTTCCTCACCCCTCTCTTGTGCCCTAAGGTCCCTTTCTCTGCATTGTTTTTTTTTTTCTCTGCATGTTTCTTCAGGGTACAGTAGATCCACAAGATTTATGACAAAGGCCTCTTTTGTCTTGTGAATAGTTGTCAGAATAATTGAAAGCAAAGCTTGGATTTGTCAAAACAAAATGCCAACATGACCCGAACGACATACAGAAGCCCCCCCTCCTTTCCCTTCATATTTCCCACTTGAGCCAGGGCCACCGGCGCAGAGGGCGTCGGCGTGTTTCACCCTGGTGTGTCGACGGGCAAGTGGGATTGTCTCTGAGGCTTGCGTATCACTCAGTCACAGAGATGCTGCCTTTCAAGCCCCTTGATTTATCACCATGCTGTGGTCAGTCCAAACTCGGCAAGTTTCATTCCTGTTTTAAAATGTCTCCCAGCTCCTTCGACAGCTGCAGTGGCCCCAGCGAGGCGGTGGAGCGCAGGGTGTTTTATTGGTGTGTGTGTGTCTGTCGCGGACATTTTTTTTTGCCCCGTGTTTGATGATAATTAAGACCAGAGCAGTCAGTTGGGTATTTGAGCAGAAAAACAAATGTCATTCATTTATTGGTGGTTTCATTAAAATATGTAACAATCTTTGTTTTAAAATTATCAAAAGCTTTTTAGAGAAAAGAGGGCTCTGGTATTTTTTAAGCATCCTGTCTGCTAATCGGCACAGATCATGATGTCATGGGCAATTTTTTACAGATGTGCTCTTGCAAAAGCCCCTGCCAGCCCAAAGCATTGTACAAAATAAAGGGGCTTTTTCTTTTTTTTTTCTCCTGGGTCACATTCATTCTGTTCTGATCCTCTCTCCCTTATCTCTCTGTCCCTAAGCCCCCTTACCTTTCTCTTTCACCCAGATCCTAGTATCTCTTCAATGAATAAAAAGCAAACGTGACAGGACTCTTACACAATGAAACTACATAACAGGGAAGAATCTCAAGCAAACTTATACAAAATAACCGCTTCTTGGTGGGTATAGACAGTGCATCAATAAAAACATTTATACAGTAGCTCATTTGTAATGTGAGCTCAATCCAAGAGTTACACATCCACACCTGATATCTGGGCATGTTCTTTCATCGTTTGGTAGCCTTTTTAAAAACTGCGAGTCCAATCTAGTGTGTCGATGCAGCGTGCTGTTTTTTCTGTGTGGAATTTGAAACCTGCGGGGACAAGAGAGCATTCTGGCTACAGATCTGTGCTGTCTCTGTCTTTAATTAACAGTCCTGCTCGAAAGAGGGCAGAGTCAGCCCTGGGTTTTATTGCTGTTGTTCTGTTCTGGAGCTCTGTCCGTCTCCCAGAGTCTGTGGAGCTCTGTCTCTTCACGGCACACTGCTGCCAGCACAGGCACTGTTGCAGTGTGTTGTACAAACCAGCTGCAGTTCGAACAGCTGTCCTGTAGGGCCAGCTCCACATTGACCTCACACTAACTCTCTCGGAGTCGGTTCCCGTCTTCATCAGTGCCTCCCAATCCATTAAACTGCCCGGGTTCATAATTTTCTTTAATTGTCACTTAGACTCAGAAGGCTTCATGCTGTTTCTTTGTAGGACAAGAAGTACTGGCTTGTCCAGACATCTTTTTCTAGTGGCCAGATGTGGAACTGAGCTTTGCTCTCCTCGCGGCCCCTCTTTTCCTCGGTCCGTTAGCAAAGAGCTACAATCCGCCTCCCTTCTCCGAGGCGGCCTGGTGTTTCTCGTTAGGAGGGGCTAACAAAATAAACGAGTATTCTCTGCTCGCAAGCCCGAAATGATTTTACGATACGAATTGAATTGTCTGAACTCGTTTTTTAATTGTAATAACGTGTTGGTATTGCTAACTGTGTCCGATTGAGCGTTCAGAATGCCTGCCGTAATCTACCCAGTGAACACTCCAGTTTATAAATGGAATTTCTGTGGTACTGCGATCTTTTAATATCGATGAGGTTTTCCTGGCCTGCAGCAGAAACGAAGATGTTTGCTGCTCCAGCAATGGCTGTTTGCAGTGTACAGCCTTGTAATTGTAAAACAAGACAATCACGAAACAGCGGTTGTTCTCTTCTCTTTGTTCTGAAGTCGGGTTTCGTTGGTATTTTCGAGGGCTGCAAATTACAGACTGCTGGAAGCAAGGCAAATATTTAAAGCTTATGGCATTTGTGGTTTGTTTCTTTTCCTTGACTTTTTTTTCTTAAACGTGACTGGAAAGTATAGCTATTGTGTACAAGTTGCAATTAAACTCTCCTTTTATATGCTCAAGCCTTTCGTTTCTGAGTGGTGTCCCAACTTGGCGTTAATTTCCTCCCTGTGGTGAAATTTGGTGAAGAGAGCGTTAGAGGAATTCACATGTTTTTACATATCCTGAAGAGGAGTTGCTGTCGTTTTTTTGTAAAATGTGGTTTTGTTTGTTTCTCAGTTTTCCACGAAGGCCAAGACAGCCGAGGCTGACACTTCCAGTGAGCTGGCGAAGAAGAGTAAAGAGGTGTTTCGGAAGGAAGTAAGTCCTCCTCCCCAGTAAACTTCAAGATGCACATAGGAAATGTCACAAAGAGGAGGAAAGTGTTCGCTCGATTCGTTGCAGTCAGCTCACTGATCTGAAAAACTCATTTTGCCAGTTGATGAACCCAGGGAATCCCTTTTATAGATAGGGCTGGGTAGTTTGTTCCAGACACCATTTCCCTTAACTGTGTAAAGGAATGCGTTTTAATTTCTCCTCTTCCTTGGGTACTTATTTCCATGATGGCTCCTTTACTGCAGAGCCTCGGAACTGATCCCTGCTGCTCCAGTGCACGTCAGACAATTGCTCTCTGCCAGCTCAGGGCCGATTACCAGACTAGGAGGGCCTGCCAGCTATATAACACTAAAGATCTGGGCAGAGGGGCTTTGGAGTAACTTGCAGAATTGGCCGTGTAGCCTGGGGGCCTGCTGTATCAGCGAAGCCCCCTGTTTACTCCACCACTAGCATGCACACTGCCGACAAGGACCTAGTGGCTTGGGTAGAAAGTGGCACTTACAGGGCAAAGAGGGTTGTGGAGCCTTGGAACAAATTAGTCCGATGTTTTTTAAAGTATTCTCTGGGGATCTTCAGGAAACAGCTGGAGACAATCCTTGGGTCAGTGCCTTACTAGTGGCAAGATATACAAGCTCCTCCTAATGGTCTCCTCTCATCTTTGGCCATTCTTTAGTTCTTCATGTAACTGATTGCTTTTGAAATTAACATGCTGGGTTTTTTTTTAAAACTGGTTATGTAGGAACAAACTGAAGAAAAGGTTTTAGACTGTGATTTAAGATAGATGGACAGTCTTCAAATACAACATTTTTTAGCTGAGGGTGCTGAAACCCCTGATGCCCCCAGTCTGTGCTAATGAGGGTGTTACCCACCATAGTGCAGCGTTCTGTGGTTGTGTATAGCATATCTGTTGTCTTCTCCGCTGTACTACTAGTTTACGACAAAACCACAGTGATTTAACAGGCATCCGTTACATTTTCCAACATGAAGGTAGGCGTTTTGAGAAATATATTCCAACTAGAACATTTATTGGATCCGAAGGGATAGTAATTTAGAGGTTTTCCTATTTCCTGAATTTAAAAAAATAACCTCTTTGGACGTAGATCTAATATGTTTGTCGTAGTTCACTTATGCGTCTCTTTTTAAAACTGTTTTTTTTTAATCTGTACTGGCAATAGCTAATTATGTTATATTAAAATAAACATGGGTAACAGCAATGCCCAGATGATAAAATGGGGGAGAGTATTACTCGAAAATCATGATGGGGCATCTATAGTCAAAAAGCTAAACTTGGCCACACCACAGAGTTTATAAAAGCACACAAAGCACGTCTAAAATTGGTGAAAGTTTTTTCTGGTGGTGTTTGTGGGATTCTGTTGGGGATGCTGACTGTTCTACCATGCAACAGTTTCTCTTTGCCCCTTTCCCTGATTTGTTTTCACTCGAATCCAGATGTCGCAGTTCATCGTGCAGTGCCTGAACCCCTACAGAAAGCCAGACTGCAAGCTGGGCCGCATCAGCAACACCGATGACTTCAAACACTTGGCAAGAAAGGTAAGGTCCTGGGTGTGGAATACACACACACACAGAGACCAGAAATTCAACGAGTGTTTGGAACACAGAATTGGCATATTTCCTTTGGTGTGCTGTTCACTGCAAGGGATCTGGGTGGAATTGCGCTTAATTTGAGCAAACTAAAAATGTGAACGGCAAAAAAAAGCTTTTTTACTGCAATTTGGCTGATAATATCTACACTTACATTACTTTAAATGGGGTAGTTTTTTGCTTTCCCACCTTAACTCTCTGGAGACTTGTATGTGTAAACCAGCCTACGTTGCATTGTGAAATTGTATTTGTTCTTGAGATGCATCAAAAACATTAAAAAAAACCATAACAAATAGCTGGCTGAACAGGCCATATCATTTTTGGGTATCTGGTCCTAGTGAAGAATAACTGGGAACTGTCCTCATCAGGGTCTTCTACCTGGAAGATATTTTATTGCCTCAATTTCTTCCTTGAGAGAAGCTTAAACTGTTTTTTGCCGGGCAGATCATTTAGAAGTCAGTCCCTGTGCCTTCAGTGCCCTGCAGGCGTGTGATAGTGGTTCGCAGTGCTCATGCTGTGATGCCTGTGTGTTTTGCAGCTGACGCATGGCGTGATGAACAAGGAGCTGAAGTCCTGTAAGAACCCCGAAGACCTGGAGTGCAACGAGAATGTGAAGCACAAAACCAAGGAGTACATCAAGAAGTACATGCAAAAATTCGGGCCCGTCTACCGGCCGAAAGAGGACCCCGAGGTTGACTAGCATTTCCCTGCCGTGCTCGTCCAGAGACTCTCGCCGCGAGGAGGCTAGGACAGGAAAGCACGGGGCCGCGCGATGTGGGGGTGGGATAGGGGCATCTGACCTGCTCATTCGTACCCCCCACTGCCTAACGGAGTGCAGTCGTCACTTTCCTGGGGCGCACACAAGGGCTGCGGTCTTCCCCAGCGGAACGGGGAGAGGGTATGGCACCGGATATTCCTGTAGCTCCGGACCGTGCGCCAGGATAACGGGTAGGACACCTTCCCCACCCCTCCGAAAAGCCTCCAGTTGTTCTTGCAGTCCAAGAGAGAGATGGAGAGACCCACCGTTCGCCCCGTTCTCCCCACAGCTACCCCACACCTCCCCTATGAGTATGCTGCACTCTGCCTCCCCGAATTACGTGGGCCCCGGTTTGGTTTCAGAGAACCAGGGTGTTTTCCGTGACGGGCTCGCCCTGATTAACTCATTTTTTAAAAAAAAATATTTTTTAATCTAAAAGAAAAATCTGACTTTACATGTCTCACACTGCTGTAGTGTGTCAGGAGATTTTTTGTAAGTTTTTTTTTAAACTGTGAATATAGAGGTCCTGCGTCACAAAGCAGGGATAACACTTTTTACAGACTTATAGACAACACTCATGTACAGCCTTTCATTCGTGTTCGTGGCCAGTTTCTTCTCCCCTTTCTCCTCACTGGGCTGCCATCAGCACCAGGACCCTGATGGAGATGGCAGCCTGTGAAAAATTGATTGACAGCTTGACATTAGCTATGCTGACTGATAGTTTACTGTGCCAGTAACATGCCAGTTACCACCTTCTGACCATTAGAACCCCCTAAGCTCTTTGTAGACAGTACCTCCTGATCCAGGGCTGGAAATTGCATGGCAGATCAGCTGCACTCCATTGTTTTCTCTTTCCCATCTTTTCCCAAATTCTTCAATAATATTTTAGCCCTGTAAATTCTCTCCAGTGATTTCTTGCTGTGTCCTTTATGAAATGTAATAAAGGATAACAAAAGACCATTCACTTCTGTGACTAGGGCGGTGTTTGTTTTTTGAGTGTTACGAGGTGGAATTTAATGCAGTTGTTTAAAGCCAGTAGCCTACAATGATCAGTGCAGTCAGTGTTTTCTCTCGTACATTCTGTTGCGTAGCATAACGATGCAGTGATTTCCACTTCCGGCCCTAGGAAACCTTCTATGTCTCCAATCTCTTCACTCCCTAGGAGAGTAAAAAATGCACCAGTGTTTATATTAACTATGCCTTCAGATTGCACTGTACATAGATCAGTTGTACTGTTAACGGGGACTAGGGATGTAATTCTGAGTGTGTGGATTGAGCATGTACAGTAACCCCCTTCCCTTTTGGCGTCGGGCATCAGCAATGAGGAAGCCAAGCTGAAGAAGGAATGGTGGGCGATTCGTTTTTATGTCTGGCCTAAAAATCATGTCTTCTGCCTCTTGCCGTTCTGTTTGTCGTCAGATCCTCAGTCACGCACAAAAACAGAGGTGGCACTTTGGCTTTTTACTGCCTGTCGAAGGAAAACGTGCATATTGTAACAAGAATTCTTAACATTTGAGGAGCATTACAACTGAAAGTGTGCAATCGTGCTTTGTTTGAGGGGGAGGTAATTGAAATAGGTTCCGGCATATGAAATGAATTACTGTCAGCACCAGCTGTGGGGACTAAGTTTGGCTTTTGCCTTGTTCCGCTGTCTCTTTGTCAGCCCTTCCTTGCCCCTCCCATGCTGTTCAGTTGGGCCCTCTCCGCTCTCTCCATTAGCTTTTAATTGCATTAAATTTCTCAACACCTGTATTATAGTGCTTTAACATATATGTGAATATATTGATAAATTCTTTTTTTTTGAATGTTGAGAATGTTTAAAAATCCACGATCATTTGTAAAAGACTGTTGTTCCATGTTTTAATATGTAAATATATAATAAAACCAGGAAATAGCTCATGGAAATGTGGCAAGGAGGCTAGCAGAATATTCTGAATGCGTCCCGCAGAACCTCTCGGGAGCTCCTGTACCATTCACACAAGGTTACAGTATTTTATTGATAATCACTGCTTTTTCGTCATTTTAGTTCTGTTCCTATTTTTACTGATAAACCTGGATTTCTATGTAAAAAGGGGGCCTCGCCACCACTCCTCTGTAATTACAGTGCGAGGACATTGTCATACTGAGTGTAAAACATTTTAAAAGAAAATAAACCTTTTTTGTAAAAATTTACATTTCCTTTCCGTCTTTTTCTGGGGTTGTGTTACCATAGGTGTGGTGAAAGTACTCTTACAGATGTAGAAGAGGGCTTTTGCTGTCCATACTAATTGCACCTGCTGAAACCATGTACATCAAGGGAAGCACTATATAAATGACATCAAGATAGGCATGGGTCTGATGGGGGTAATGCAGAAGTTCGTAACAGCACCAAGTCTGTCTTCACCACTGCAAGGGACAACGATTAGAACATCACCTGGCAAGAGTACTGAGAACCGGGAATTAATGAGAATTAATCAATATTAATAAGTGTTTGTATGTGAAACAGGAATGCGGAATTAACCATCGGGGATATCTAAAGGCAGAGACAAAGTGGTAGACGTGGCTAATTTTATCAGAACAGCTTTTAGAAAGAGTGTCTGTTTCCAGGCTTCCCAAACAACCAAGATAGGCTGTGAAAAACAGGTAAGGGAAATATTCCCTAGAGCAATCATAATGGGGTGTGCTTTTAGGTTTTACTTTGTACCAGCAGAGAGACCAAAACAACGGAATTTATGGAAAACATGCTTAAAAGAATGAAACAAAGATGAAGAAAAGCAAAAAAGAAAAAAATGCCTGTGAAATTAGTACAGAGAATGGCGACAGTTCGAAGACATTCTGCTTGAAGCACAGAATAGATTTATTCCAAAATTAAGCAAATCTAATTCAGGAAGAAGTGGCTCAAATTAGAGGAATAATAGAAATAGAAATGACTTCATCAAAAGTGTTATAATGAACTGCAAGCACAGGTAAAAGGCTGAGAGAGAAGAATAATGGAATAGAAGCTATTTTTTTCACTATTGCAACAGCAATGGAATTGTAAAGTCTTGCATAAAAATGTGAAACCTGGTGACGAAAGACTTGGAATTGGATTTAGGATACAAGTTTGGGCAAACATCAGGCAATTGGCATTTAACATGCAGGTAGCAAACCAAAAGCTATTGTAAGCTAAAAAGATATCTTGCAAGAAAGTTTGAAGAGGTTACCTGTGAAAAAGGCTTTGCCTGTTGACCTTTTTGTCTTCAAGTTGTGCAATTTATATCCAGGGATGTTAGAATTATACAACCTAATGCTAAAATCACATTGAGAATATTCTGTGCAGTTTTTGTCACCAACTTAAAAACAACATTGCTGCTCTGGATTCAGTCCAGGGCAGAGCAACCAGATACATTTTGGAGCTTAAAGGAATGCTCTTCTCTGAGAGGCTAAAATAATTCAATCTTTCTGGTACTGAACAGCAAAAGCTATGAGGAGACCAGATCTAGTATTGGAAATCCTCAAAGGCGGGACAAAATAACCCAGAATCCTTTTGAGTTCGAATTGAATCAAATCACAGGACACTAATACAAGCTAAGGGAAATTGCATTTAATACTCAGAGCAGGAATCCTGATCTTATACACATGCTAGCGGATGTCTAATTTCTATTTGGGGTGTATGTGATACGTGTTAGTCATTTAAGTATGGAATGGTATTTGTAATTGGTGTTAATCCTGTATGACTTTCCCTTCGGTCAGGTGTATTCCACTCTGCAGAAGTTTAAAAAGCTCAACCTTCATCTCTTCCACAGGTTTTGGAAATGTATCGAGGTGCTTAGACAAACATAATGGAGTAAGCTCATCAGCAAATTCGGGAGAGACCTCAGTTATGCGTGGTGTTTGAGGGTTTTGGAATTGAAATATGGGAATGTCTGAGTAGAGAATAGGGTAACCGAAAAGTGAAAGCGAGCGTCTCCATTAAGTGTCAAATGAGTTGTGGAGATTACGAGCTCAAAACTGAAACCCAGCAGAGCCTGAGGCTGGGATCCAATGAGAATTCCCTTCCTCTTTCTACGGTCAGGCAGGACTGGCTGCTACAGATTCTTGGAACTGTGCATCGCATTGCATGACATCCCTGTCCCCCCCCCCTCACCCCACCCCCCGGATTCTCTGACTTCCCCCCCCTGCCCTTCCAGACCACAGCGGACCACTCCTGTCACCACACCCAGGGGCTGCGTGACGGCCTGCTCAACAGTACAGGCTCTGACGGCCAGCATGGGCTCGTTTATTAGTGGAGAAAATGACTTAACGAAAGAGACTTCATGAAAAAAGTAAATTAAAAACATCTTAAAAGAGAAAGGAACACCATGTACAGTATCCTTTTATATTTTAGCCCTATTTTAATCATGCAGAATACCACATAATAAATTTCTCATTACTCCTCTCTGCTCGTCCGAAGCTTACGAGCTTAGGCGTGAAAGTACTGACTGTACTTTTTAGATGTTTCTTAGTTGTGCACCGAAAGCTTTTAGAATGCATGGAGCAGCACCAGAAATGTCACTCCAAGCTTCTGTTTCTATGAAAATGTTTTTGGGGGATGGATGAAACATTTTGGGGGTTTTTATGAAACGTGACTTGCACCAACACGAAAGGACTTCATCAGTAAGACAGCTGATAGACACGGGTGATGACGTGAGTTAACCTTGTTGAATATCAGGTCTGGTGAAATTCCGGTTTTAAAATATGCAGAAAGAAACAGGTGTGCCCTGATAAGGAGAGCAGAGCCTTTGATGCCATCAGTATGATGACCAGCAGCCACATCACCCTGCAACTCACAACTGGCCTGGTCAGTACCTGGATGGGAAAAGACCTCCTGGGAAAAACTAAGGTTGCTGCTGGAAGAGGTGTTAGTGGGGCCAGCAGGGGGAGCTCACCCTGCGGTCCGTGTGGGTCCTCATGCCCCAGTATAGTGATGGGGACACTATACTGTAAACAGGCGCCGTCCTTCGGATGAGACGTAAAACCGAGGTCCTGACTCTCCGTGGTCATTAAAAATCCCAGGGCTTTTCTCAAAAAGAGTAGGGGTGTGTCCTGGCCAAATTTCCCATTGGCCCTTACCAATCATGGCCTCCTAATAATCCCCATCTATGAATTGGCTACATTACTCTGCTGTCATCCCCACTGATAGCTGATGTGTGGTGAGCGTTCTGGTGCACTATGGCTGCCGTCGCATCATCCAGGTGGAGCTGCAAATTGGTGGTGGTGGAGGGGAGTCCCCATTACCTGTAAAGTGCTTTGAGTGGAGTAGCCAGAAAAGCGCTATATAAGTGTAAGCAATTATTATTATTATTATTATGATGATGATGACAGGGGCAGCATTAAATTAGCCACTCCTCTTCTGCAGAGTCCTAAATCTCTATCCTGGCAAGATGTTCTACACAAACAATCCGTCAATGACAAGCCACAATCTGGGATTACCAGTCACGACACCTTACCGAGATAAACATCACAATTACCCTTGGCTTATACTGAGCCAGATAGGTGAGTTGACAACATCCTAATTTGCAATAATGCCCAAGCCAATTAATATTACACAGAAGGCGAAACAGAAAAGTAAATCCGCGAACAAATAGAGCTGGGTATAAAAGCACTGTGGTGTTAGCAAGTGCAAGTGTCAACCTTGTGGGAAGACTTACTCCTACCACAGAAAACGCCCTCAGAAATGACAGTAGTTTCAATTTACTCTGCAGGCTAACCAGTCTTGTGCAGCATCACATTGAAATGACCTGCCTCAAGTAGTCAGACGTATCCATCCATTTTCTCTCTGCTTAAAGCTCAAGACAGGATACACCCTAGACAGGACACCAGTCCATCGCAGGGAATACACCAATATAGACAAGCACACACTCACACCAGGGCCACCTCTTAAAGAAAGCTGCTTAACCTACCAGTGTGTCTACCAGTCTGTGGGAGGATCATGGAGCACCCAGAAGAACCCCACGCAAATACGGGGAGAACATACAAACTCGGAGAGCACCCCAGGTTGGGATCTGAGCCCAGAGCCCCAGTGAGGAGTCAGCAATGGTCTGAGGTATGACCTTGTAGAATGGTACTGTGAACTGCAATGCATTAGAGATAGAATGGTGTTTTCCTGTTAAATATCTGTGAATTATTTTAAACCAGTGAGGTGTTTATCATGTTTAGCATGCAGAGAAGACTTCTCAATCAGAGAATAAAGGTCAGTCAGGAGTGCGATAGGGAGCACCTGTGATGTGTTCTTTGGCAGAATGGTATAAGAGAGATTTAGGAAACCAGGGTCCTAGAGTGTTTATTCCTGGATTTAATTCCATTTCAGATTTCAATTAATTAAATCAGTGAGTGGATATGATGTCCATTCAGTGTGTTCTACAGGTCTTGAAATGCAGGAATCTGGTACACGAAGATGCTTACCGCTGCCTACCTCCATGTTGCCTAGGACAGGCTTAGAGACCATTCGTTCAGCCAACTCACCATAGTCCAAGATAAAGACATTGCTCTATTGTAAGCCCAGAGCAGGGTCTCCAGCCCTAGTCCTGGAGAGCTCCAGTCCAGCCAGTTTCTAAAGGCCTTGAACAATTTAACTATGATCAGAGATCATCTGCCTATCCTTTTTACATTTCATCCAGTTCAGGGTCATTGGGTCAATGGGGGGGCCAGAGCCAATCTTGGCAAGCAAAGGACTCGAGGCAGAGTAGTCGCTGGATGTGACATCAGCCAATCACAGGACACACACAAACATGCACACATACAAGGGCCAGCTTTCAGAGAAGCTGATTAACCATAATCGTGCCACCCGTTCAAAGAGCATTAGATAAAAAATCTGAAAATCCTTCAACCCGCATGGGAAGGAACACTCACTCTCAGTGAAACATTCCTTGCTTAATTGATCAACTGCAATAAGTGTGCCTAATCTTGATATAACAGGTGATTCAGGTGACCTATAAGAATGACTCTTCAGAAACAGGGCTGAACTAGAGGTATATGAAAAACCCATTTTGTTGAAATAAAGCAAATGACTTTAGCTTCTAATTTATCCTTGTGTTTTGCAGCTAGAGCACTATCAGGCCAGATGCCCAAGGATGTATAAAATAGGACTTGGTTCAGCTTTGGTTTCTAAGGGTCATGGTGTGAGCACGAGTGTGCTGTCATTACAGAACTGTTAACGAGTGATGGCAACTTGACTGCATGGCCCTACATTGATCATGTTCTGAGACTCTTTGAGCTCATTCTGATGACACAATATTCCAGCAGCACAATGCCTGTCCTCATCGCGCTTGAGTCCCAGCTATTTTATGCTCCTCATAACTTTGTGAATTTAATGCAATTATGAGATATTTTTAAATTTGCTCAGTTCAGTGCTAATCTCTTCAGCATGCGCTGAGCTGGAACTCCTGACTGACTCATTGAATCCAGAGCAGCGATATCTTTTCTGTAACATTGTGAGCAAAATTGTCCAGAATATTGTTAAACGAGTTCTGCATGCATTGTACAATATTATTATTACATTCCTTGATTTCATTTCTAACCTACGCTAACACCCTAGTAGCGTCTTCAAGCTGTATTTTACATTTTCTAGCTCATTGTTTTTCTACAGATTGGTTCAGATTTTTTGCCGGGTGCTGTCCCCGATTCCAAATTGATTGTGTATATAATGATGAAGGAAATTATGGGTAAAACAATAATTTTAACAAAGCGTCTGGAGGTCATTTACAGTTCTTTCTGGAGGATCACACTTGCTGTTTCCTATGTTGTCGCATTGTTCTCCTGTTGCAACAAGAATATTTCTGATCAGAGCGCAGACTTGCTTCCACGATACAAAAGCAAAGGTAAACCTTTAAGAAATCAGAAACTACTGTGTTGTGGACACATATTTCCTGCCAATCAGCAAACTTCTTTTCCTTACATTTTGAAAGTGGAATAAACATCCAAGGCAGAAAAATACCATCAAGCTTTGTTCCTTTACGATATAGGCAAGTTTTTTTTTTAATAATGTTACTGCTCGTAACCTACAATTAACAAGAAAGGGTGTATCCAGTATTTTGTAGCCAAACAAAAAATGCTCAATTTCTGCTTCTTAGGGGGAAGAAAAATGTTGGAATGGACATGAAAAACTCAGAAAAAAGAATCTTTGTTTTCCAGCCAGAGATCACAGTAGTGCAGTCACATGTCTCCCTTGACATCTTAATTTTTGGAATTAAATGGAACAATTTCATTACAAGAGGCTCCTGCCAGGACCCTTATCTAAAATAAGCAAACATCTGAGAGCGATGTCAAGCTTAAATGTTTAAAATGGAGATAATCTACAAACTTGTGAGTGCAGAGGCCCATGTATTAGTACAGGCTACACTCAGGCGGACACCAACTGAACAAGCCAATTCACTTTTAGGAACATTCGGAGATGAAAGCACTCAGCTAATTCAGCTAATTGGTTTCCAGATTGCTCACTGCAGATGCCTGAAGGATAGGTATCTTAGGTTATTTTGGAACTATTTTGGTCATGGAACAATTTGCTGTGCCCAACTGGAAAAACAAAATGCCTCCTGTAAAATAGTTACAGTCTCAGCACCGCTGGGATGACCTTGCTAAAAACAACCACCTTCGATTAGGTTATTCTACCCCTCCATCCGTCTTCTAACTGCTTTATTTAATACCAGGGAGCCAGAGCCCATCCTGGTAAGCAACAAGTACAACGCAGGATATATCCCAGGAATAAAAACCGAACCATTGTGCCACAGCGCCATCTCGAGTTATTCCAATATTGTTTGATAGGCCCATCTCTGCATTGCCAATGCTGTCAAGTGAGGTTGGTTCCATTATAAGACGCCACCAGGGGTGTCTCAACAAGATTTTGGCTTGGATGCCAAATGTGATGGACAGATTAACCTCTCTTCTGGTTGCTATGCATCTATATATAATCCTTCAAAAAATGAATAGAATCGTAGATTCCAAAATTTAATCCAGCCCATGGTGTTTGAGGCAATGCTAGTGACAGCCATGTGTGCAGTTCCATTTCCCAGGTTCTGAGACTTGGCAGAAGGCAGGCAGAATAGCCGTGTAGTAAATGAGATCACTCGATATAACCCTGTCATTTTCAGTGTATTTGCTGGGCCTCTGCCTTCTCCCTCCCTTCTCAATGAATCAGCAGTGAAATAAAAACACGGCAGACCAAATCCTGCAAATGTATATTTAACATGAGATAAGACATTACAAAAGAGACTTTGAACGCACTGCAACATACTCATGAACAAAACACAGAACACGCAAGGCATGGCTGGGGAGAATGGGGGGAGCAAGACTCAGGAAGACGGAGAGGAATACCCACAATTCTCAGCCACCCATGCTGACGACTTTGTTTGTCCTGCAGGTCAAAGGTCCTTGGTTTGACTTTGTTACCAATCTGACCTCCAGTAGGGGCAGAAAGGCAAAGCAATGACTATAGAGAGAGGCAGAAAATGAGGAAGCACTGAGGGAGGAATATGTCTGCCATGGCAGTGTGGTTTCCCAGAATGCACACTGAACTAGAGGTGGTCAGCCACAAGTGATTAACATCACACTGCTGCTGCTGATTTTAAATGCAAAAAAATGTTAATGGCGGGTATAAAGGCGCTGGGAAGTAACTTGAATGGGTTTTAAACTATGAAATGGTTTTTAAGACTTTACATTTAAAACATAGTGTAGTTGTAGAGATTTCAAAAAAAATGACCATGAGGAATGACCACCATGGCACATGAATTAAACTGAAGTGCCAAAGATGTCCTTGCGTGAAGTCATTGCCTCACAGTGCAAAACCAAGGTACCTGCAGAATTATTGGCCATAAGCTGTTAACTGTCTGAACTCGGAAAGAGAGAGCTCAGACAGAATGAAAATCAGAAGATGCTGTGGCCTTTAAGAACTGGAATTGTGCCGCCCCTACGAGTGGTTCAAACAGAGACAAGACGCACGCCCCTTTGGGAATCACCAGCAGGAAGAGCCCCGACTCCCTCCCAAGAGCACACCAGCCCACTACATTAAACCACATGAGCATAGGCCAGTGCAATGCATTTACTTTGATTTGTGACAGTTTAAAGAATGGTTTAGTGGTTTAGTAGTTACTGCTTGATAAATGTAAGAACCTTTTTCATAGATTATCAGTATAAATGGAGAAAATATATATTTTTTAATGGGGGGTATCTCTTACAAAGTTGGTATTTGCATAAATGGCTTTGTTTCATAATTAGCACCTGATTTTTACTGCATTGTCATCGGTAAAGAAGCTCATTCAAGACAGCGAGACATCTCCAATCCCAAACATGGCGGATCAGCCCCAACACTGCAGGGACCTTGCTCCATCTGACCCCTCACTTAATTAGTTATTTGGCTTTATCAGACCTCCTCAACGTCTTTCTCCTCTTATCCAAAGCAGTGGGAGCTCTACCACAGTAACACGCTGGACAACGTTCTTTGGTACCCAGTGATGCCATGGGGATTTCCCATGATCCACTGGGCTGAAAGGGATCAGAGCTTTTCCAGGGGCAGCGAGAGCAGGGCCGGCTTCTGAATGGTCGGCTGGAGAGTTTGTTTCCATGACAACGAAGCTGAGCAGCAGTGGCAGCTGGCCTGGGTATTACTGACTGTGCCCTCGGTGTAAAGGAACAGCAGAAGATATGGAGGTGAGCGGTGCAATGTCCTGTTCATTTGTTAGTATAGTTTAGCCATTTCTCTCCTCTTCCTTCTCGCCTCCCGACGTTGCTGGGACTTCCACCACCTGAGTCTCTTTAGCTTTCATTCCCGGGTCACTGTGGTGGGATTTCAGGAAAATGGGCCTCCTCCCCCTCCTCTCCGTGCGCCGCGAGTCAGTCTGATTGTCTGTGGAGCTGCCTGCCTGCCCCGTGCACTCACACCACAGAGCTGGCCTGAGCTGGGCGGCTCAGGGCACCGGCCACGTCGCTCCTGTCGATGCGCTCCAGGGCCGAGCACAGCGCGGCCACCGTGGAGCCCTCCTGGCCCGCCCAGTCGGACAGCAGGGTGTGGACCGGGTCCTCGCCGCGGCCGAAGGTGTCGATGCGGTCCTGCTCGTACTCCAGCTGGGCCGCTAGGTGACGCCAGCCCTTCCCCCCCGCCTCCTGCAGAAGCGTCTCCACTTCCTCCTGCCTCTGGGGGCTGAGGTTCAGGTACAGCCGACTGTCCTGCTTGCTGTCCCGAAGTCCACCTGCAGGGGGAGCCAAGCATGTACCTTGATTACCAGCAAGCCCTGCACAGAGAGTGAGGCAAGACACGGGCGCGTTGTCATCTGTTGGACTCGGTGATAAAAGAGAAATAAAAAGAAGGAACTTGCTAGCAAAGGAATTAACTGGAAGCAGCTGTGCTTGATTCTTTCCAAATCTCACAGCATTGCTGAAAATGTCATTGAACATACAAGTATATAGTTTACAAATATAATATACAGTGCCTATAGAAACTACACACCTAAGTAACAGATTTTGTGGTTTAACAGACAGAAATCAAGTCACGTTAAATCAAAACTATATTTCTAGGTTGGCCAAGTTCCCCCCTGGTCTTTATCCATCGTGGCCTCCTAATAATCCCCATCTATGAATTGGCTTCATCACTCTGTTCTCCTACCCACTGATGGCTGGTGTGTGGTGAGAGTACTGGTACACTATGGCTGCTGTTGCATCATCCAGGTGGGGCTGCACATTGAGTGTCCAGAAAAGCGCTATATAAGTGTAAGGATTATTATTACAAAGCAATTAGGCCGTGAACCATGAGCAGCAGGCAAGATGTATTCAGACCATGTACTCAGACATGCTTATCCACACAATACTCGGGCGACACTGCTGTGTCCTTCCTCACCTTTGCCTGGGTGGTTGTCCTGCAGGCTGTGGGTGTCCAGGAACACCCCGCTGTCACTATGGAGCTTCTCTCCCTCGGGGACCCCACTGAGCTCCCCACCCCGAGCCTTCGCCAGTGCCCTCTTCTGCTTGCAGGAGGACCAGCTGCAGGGAGACAGGCCAGCGTTACGGGGGGCTGCGCTGATCAATTTCAGAGTCAGCAATCAGCTGGGAAACCGTGTGTGTGTTGTGTAGAGTGCTTGTGTCATTCTGAGACACCCTGCTGAGCTGTGTGAAAGAGCGAGGAACGAAGAACCAGGAGAAAAGGCTGAAAGCAAGAGAAGTAACAGCCTTGACATTCGTTAATGCAGGTCTGTGTTGTTTGTCTGGAAGGACCAAGGGGCTCCTGGTTTATGTTCGAGCTTCATATCTGGATTAGGCGAATTAATTATTGGCAACAACAGGGCGCAGATACACAATCTTGAGGCACTTTACAATAAAATCATCAACTACAGAAGAAAAATTTAGGAACCGATTGATACATTCAATTAGAATTAAATGTTGAGGCAGAAAAGTGAGTTGTAACAATTAAATTTTAAAGGTTGTTGAAAAGCAAAACATTTAAGAAAATTTTAAAGGTTGTTGAAAAGCAAAACATTTAAGACACGGTTGGATCTAGGAATGGTAGCTATAACTTGTTTCCAGGAATGGAAAGAAATGCTTAAGGTCCTCTTTTTCGTGGGGGATATGTTTCTGAACTGTCAGCGGATAATGAGAAACACATATCCTGGGAAAATAGCTTTCCCATTCCAAATATATATATATACCATGCGTATATATAATACACCATGTAAATCAACATACACATGCCAAATAACAAACGAGCGTGACAGAAAATCAGAACAGCATTGCACAGTTTTCTGTTATATAAAGTAATACCATTAAAATAAACGTAAAGCACCTGTGTTTACAGTTATCAGTTACTGAGGGTAGTCATATTCAGGAAATGGGAGAGATGCGATTGGTAACGTGGAAGAAAATGTGTGCATGAAATCTAAATTGAAGCTCACAGACATTCTAGAAGCTTTGGGCCTACAAGAACATTCTGGAAGCTTCACGAACGCCTCTCCGGTCTTGGTCTGACACCGTGAGAACACATAACCATTGAAGTAGGAACCGCGGGTGAGGTAGAGGAGGATGTATTTAGGCCCAGTCAGCAAGTGAGGGTTTGTCTGGAGACCCATGGCATAAGGCTATAACTTATTTTGTGTCACAGACTCACCACTTGTAGGCGACGTAGAGCAACAGCCCAAGCACTACGGCGGAAAGGATGGAGACATAGACTGGGATGATGTTATTGCCACCTTCCTCCTGGGGAGTGAATTTCGGGGAACCAGGGGGAGGGCTGGACCCCTCTTCGTCTCCTTCCCCCTCAGGAGCTTGCCGGCGGGGAGACTCCTGAGCGCTGTCCGAGTCGGGCCGAGTCAGAATCTGTAGGTTCTTATCTGGAGGAAGAGGGAGGCAGAAATAGGGACAGATTTTAGCAGTGCTGTTCAGAATTTTTGGAATAGTAAAATGGGTCTACAGTGTTATGGTGAACGATGCATACTGCATTTTTAAGCAAGAGGCCGTGCTAAATCGTGAATATTGTCACAGTTAAAAGGCGTTGTTAGGCCCCACACAGAGCGTCGGCCCGGCAACCCTTTTAACTGTGACTATATTTACGATACAGCAAAGGCCTCGGTGCCTTATTGCTTTTATAAAATGGTTGCCAAATATGCGATTGCTGTTTTGAATGAATTTTAATTAAAACATTTATTTAACATGAAAATTAAGCTCTTCACGTTCCTCCACCAGAGAATGTAGTCCCTCGTTGCTATACAATGCAGAAACACAGCCATAAGTAACATTAACTAGCAAAGAGAGGACATTACCTAGCCAATATGATAAAGGAATAAATGACTAGTATCTTGTGCACATTTATTTGAACATTTCCATTGATCGTGCAAGCATTGAAAAACTGTCCAATCCCTAGTTCATCTGGCATTTTCTTTTTCGCTGTGGGAGTTCTCCCACTGCTGCTGGTCTCAGTGCCTGCCAGGATATCACTCCAGCGCTTTGTCGCTTTATTGGAAATTGGGTTTCCAATAACTCCTTAGCGAACTCTCGTATTTATGTCCACTAACAGACATATCCTCCCTTGCTTCTAACCAAACATTTGATTATTTCTGGACCATTGTGCTACAAAGGCAGTGGTTGGTGTACATTTTTGCCTGTGCAATTGATTTGATTGACTGTTTTTCATCAGTCAGCGCACTGATATTTCTTTATCACACAGTGAAAAGTCAAAATCCAGGCTGTGTGTATATCAGAGATCATAGCACGGCTTTGAACGCGCGTCAGCCAATCACCGGAACTATCTGTTTGAAAGAACAGCTTATGTAATACATTATTATCGATAATAACAGCAACAGGAGTAGTCCTTTAACTTCATGTGCTTTGAAGCTGAAGGAGATAAATAATGCACCATCAGCCTGCCATACCCTTGCTGCTGCAAAGTGGTAGCTTGAGGTTGAAGCTTAGTTCACACTGTGAGAGAACAACTCCCAGTTTGAGCATCTCATGTGACCAAATGGGGTCACATGGTTTATAATTAAGTACCTGTCTTGACCGCAGGAATACTTTTGTAGCTGATTCTATTGTGTGAACCAGGCTTAAGTATACTTGCTGTCTTGTTTCTCTCTGTCCTGCCCTTATTAGGAGGCACTTGTCTGTCCAGCAGTGTGTGTGTGTGTGCTGAGCTGATATTAATGGGCAGACAAGAGTAGGTGGGGAGGGAGACTGCTCACACATTAGACTCTCAAGTGTTTTTCAGCCTCTCCACTATCCCACACAATCCAAAAAGGGGTCTGGCCTGGGTATTTAGGTAAGGGAAGCATGTTTCACTTTGGTTTGCACATTGCATGTAAAACAAGATCAGTAACAGTACTTCCAATGACCTCTTCTTGCTCTCAGGATGGCTTGGTATTGAACAGCTAGCCGACAAAGCACACTGTGTTGCTTTTACCAGGAACTATTCTCACTGATCGAATGCACACATTGAGTGTCATAACTTTTTACCCTATTTCCCTACTTATCAGGGTATAATAACCAATACAGTGGAGAAGGCGAAAGGTGAAACATTATGTCAAGACAGGCTGTCCGTGAACTGTCCCTGAACCATGATGCATTGATGAGCAATAACTAATTTATAAGTGGTTTAGTAAGCATTACACACAACCTCTCTGAGACAAACTATTTAAGGATCAAAGGAGCCTGAAGCCTGTTTCAGCTGCTCAAAGGCATGGGGTCATGAACTTATTCAGCCTGCTGGCTGTGTTAGTGCTCTGTGTGGGTTAACAGGCAGCTCAGTGTACACGTCTCAAGCAGCTGGTCGGTAGGGGTCAACTGGTCAGACACAGAGCGTTACAGTGAGGCGACTGCAGTGGTGCCACATTCCCGGGGGATCCTGATTGGCGCATCCAGTACTGACGCCCCCTCTCTCAGAGCATAGGATGAGCTCTATGAACCCAGAGTTCACGAGTGTGAGCCCAATTCATCTGCCAAGTGTGATTTCCCAAGTGGTGGCAGCCAATGGGCAGAGTGTCACATGGCAGGGAGGGCATTCGTCAGCCAGGGTCATCTTGGCTTTCAGCGAAAGCTTCTTCGATCGACACTGACTCTCCTGTAGGGCACTGTGTGTCAAAAGAGCAACAGCCCTGACAGGTGGGCATGTCTGCTGGTCCTCATTCTCCCCAGACACAAGAGCTGTGGATGGCGTAATAATGCTAAAAAAAATCAGCAGCATCTTTAAATCTATAAGATTTTTGGTACCACCAGTGAAAATGACATGATGTATTAAGAGCATGGTGTGTCTACTCTCCACTGCAGAAGTAGACCTCTCTGTAGCTTTGGACTGTTTCTGACAGGCATGTCTAAGGACCTTTGTGACAATTAAAATACAAGGAAAGGATTTGACTGTCACTTCTACATCTGAACAGATTGCACTTAAAAGTGCACCAGATCAAATGAAAATGAACCTAAGTATTTCACATTCGGTGATAGTCACAGTATTAAACATGCCTCTATATTAAACACCCACCGTCGATGCACTTGCACCAAATAATTCTGCAGGGAAAAGGGGTTCAAATCCATTGAGGTACAAAACCCTGCCTTGTGAAAATGGGCACTCTGAAAGTCTTCCTGTCATACTTGTAGTGCAAATGCCTGCCTTTAGCATGAACGTCTGCACAGAGCCAAGCTATCTAAGCTAGGCGCGCTTGTGTCCGCTCCTATCTGTGCTCGTCTTGTGCACGTGCTGGCCCTGTGCCACAGTCGCTCATTCATCATGACGAGTGCCGGGGCTCTGGGAGCTGTGAGCGCACGCTCTTACCCATGCACAGAGTGTCGGAGTGCGGCAGGCAGGCCTGGATCTCCACCTCGCTGTCCAGGCACACCCTGCAGGGGCGGCAGGGCTCCGTGCTGCTGTGCTCCTCTGAGAAGGATCCGGAGCCACAGGCCTGGCACCTGGTGTCCCCCAGGGGCCCGCAGGCCTGCACCACGCCCTGTCCTTTCCTGCAGACCCTACAGGGGGCGCACAGCCCCGTGGAGTGGTTCCCCTGGCCCAGCAGGTAAAACCCGTCGCCGCAGTCGCACTGCGTGTCTCGGGCAGCGGAGCACCCGCCGATCTTGGGGATGCCATCCGGGCACCGAGAGCAGGGCTGGCAGGGGGCGCTGCCCGACACCGAGAAGGACACCCCTGTAACACACAGCACAGACACAGCAAAGAGGGGTTACTGACAGAAACAACCTCTGTCTCTGCTCACACAGCACCAGCTCAGCGCGTCACTGTCTCCGGAGTTATGCAAGCAGCCTCAAAATTAATATAGGAAATAAAAAAGCATGGAATGCAGTTTTTAGTAGAACAGATTTTTTTAAAAATGCATTGAGCTCGCAGTTCTGAGTTTACTGTGTTTATAAAAGAACTGCACTGCATGCACTGCAAACAAACTGTACTGAGCTGCTGGCCGGAGCTGGGGATGACCAGGCGTCCAGTGTGATGCAGCTGTAGCCTGTAGTGGCTCTGGAGGGGCAGTGTCCTTAGGTCTGGGTCTGACTTTTCTCCCATCAATTTACCATCGTGGGGTTGCTGGGGAGCCAGAGCCTACACAAGCAGCAAGCAGCCGACACAAGGCGGGATACAACCCTGAAGGGGACACCAGTCCATCACAGGGCACAAACAGACACAAACCCACGCATTCACACCAGAGCACCCCCCCAAATCGATTTCTGATTCAAATAAATCTACCTCACAAAAGGGCATGGAAGAAAACAAACCTGCATTGCAATTCTAAAGCAGAGCTCACCTTAGTACCTAAAGCACATTTTCTGGAGAGTCCAATTCAGTCTTTATGCCGGTGTTACTGGTCTCTCCTCCTCTCCCCAGCTAACCTTCCTTTTCCCATTACCCTAAATCCCCGAGACAGGTACCCACCGTCCTGGCACGGCTGGCACTTGGTGTTCTCTCGCCCGCATTCTACAGCGACGCCAAACCCCGGGGGGCAAAGGTCACAGCACTCGCCGGTCACGGTGAAGCGGCCGCTGGCACAGGCGTCTCCCAGGGCAACCTGCCAATACAAACACCCACCTCGCCGTCAGGCCAGCCTGCTGGGGGGTCACAGTCAGGGCCACGGCACCCCCCAGGATCAAACATTTCAGACACGTTCCCTGCGCTAGGTGTCAGGTGTGCCCTACCGTGCCCAGATTCTCTGCAGCAGAGCTCGTGGGGATCTATAGAATTAGCACCCCACATTGAGGGGGCTGAAGTGTCTGCTGGTACAAAGAAGCTGTGACTGAGAGGGTTTCACAGAGAAAAAATGGAAAGGAAAAGAAATGTGTGGTGAGCGTACTGGCGCACCATGGCTGCCGTCACATCATCCAGGTGGGACTGCACATTGGTGGTGGTGGAGGGGAGTCCCCATTACCTGTAAAGCGCTTTGAGTGGAGTGTCCAGAAAAGCGCTGCATAAGTGTAAGCAATGATTATTGTTAACTTCTTCCCCCACAGCTGCTGTGTGTGTCAATGAATCACCGCGGGGATAGGCCCTGAGGCCGGGGTGTCAGTTAGGAGGGGCGGCCCAGCGCATGCATCTGTGTTTGGGTGAGGGCCGTCTTTGATGTCCGCCAGCCCTGCAGGTGTGTCTGTGTAGGTCGCAGCGCTTTCTCCACCTCAGCCCCTTTAACACCTCTCCCCAATCTCCCCCGCCCCCCACAGTGGCATCTTAGACATGCACATATTTATTAAGATCACCCACTGCCTCTGGGCTGGGCTGACGAGAACAAACAGATGTCTAACAAGGACCCCCCCCCACACACACACCACCACCACCACCCGCCCCCCCTCCACTTCAAAAAAGCAAGAAAAAAATCCTCTGATGTCTGCGGAGTTGAAAGAGCATGTGTGAACCCGCAGATCAGAGCCGCCTCTCAATCAACCCGGCACCCACCCCCCAAGTTAAACTGTACCACCAGGCAGACACAGGCTGGGGCCCCCGAACACAACTTCTGCATCTGCTTATTCAACAACAACTGGGAAGAGGTCCCCGCACTCTCGCGTGGCTGCTTCAGTGAGATAAATACCTTGTTTGTACATGGAAGAAACTTGGAAATACCGGAGCTTGCACTAAGTGTAACTGCTTACAGACTGTTCTCATAGGAAGTGAAGAAGAAAAGCAGAGTATATAAGGCACATATAATCCTCTTAATGTTTTTATGGCTTGGGTAACAGACTGCAGCTTGTGAAACGGAATTTGCAAAGGGAGCTTCAGTTCCTGCCCCAGACCATTAATATAAATATATCATAAAACAATGTGAGGTAGCTCTAAGAGGGTGGTCCATGACCACTTTTAAAGATGTAGCACTCTTCCTGTCGTGAACTGACACCGGCTGACCACAGGGATAGAAACCAGGCCTTTTAGATGGCGGTTTTCTTGATTTCCGGATCCTAGCGCGACAGACATCTTCAGCTACTGCAATTAGTTTAAATTGTCACCTGTTCCAATCGATGATGTAGAGAAACCAGTAGAACCTGCGTGACTGTGACCACCCTGATCTACTGCATCAGAAACGGCAGTGTTGATAATGAATTCAACACCATAGAACCCACAACACAACCCCACCCCCTCTCACAAAGGCAGTCGCTGGATTTCCACCTGCTGAGAGGTCAACCCTAGTCGATTCACAGGCCGAAAAACCGGGACAGCTCAGCAGGTCAGTCTCCTTTCAGTCTCAGCCTTGGAAAGAAAACAGGGCATCTGGCTGCTGTTGGCATTGAAGCCCACATTTTGACTATGGTCACCAATCAACAAATATTGTGTGTGAAACACAACACATGTTGAACTATGGGGAAGTGCATTTAGAATGGAGACCGAGGAGGGGGGGGGGTCATACTTCTTTACACAGAGAGTTGTGGGAGTGTGAAGCAAACCTAACAGCCATACCATTGAAGCTGTGATGCTTAAATGATGTGCTTGGATCAATTAACTACAAAACAACTAGCCAAACTAGACAGAACGAATGGGCTTCTTTCCTTGGTAACCTTTCTTATGTTCTTGATGTAAAGAAAAAAGACACAAAACCAAATTTCTATTCGGTCACAACTGGAACAGCTTTACTTAGCTATACCGAGACAGTAGATTAAAACAGCACCTCAGTGTCCAAGTCTGTACTGAGACCATGGGACATTTCAACTGAATGGACGTGACTTCATGAGACATCCAAGATCAGGCTGGAAATCCACAATGTTTCTTGACCCAGACTATGCGCAAAGTGCAGCAAATGCAGACCAGACTGACCCTGCTGAAAACAGAAGGATGGGGTAAATGCATCTTTTGAAGGGCTACACCTGCTGTTTATCCTAACGCCAACAGTGATAAATCCCAATAATTCAAAATAAGGTCGGAAAGCATGCCTTATTTTTCTCAAGCACTTCTAGTGAGCGCCAGACTTCTCCTGTTACATGTGTGAATTGTGACTTCTATTCTTTCTTAAGGAAAATGTGTATGTACTCTTCCAAATGTCTGGAAAACAGACAAACTGATATTCTTGCTTGATTCAGCCCAGAACGTAACTCTGGTCCTAATGAAAACCTTCACTACATTGAGATTCTGGCTTGTACGGGCTTATGTTCTTTGGGCTGAGTGTCAAATACATGGTTTACACAAAACAACTGAGCAAGGACTATATCTGTGGCCAAAGGACTGCATCTCATGGCAGCTATATCCTCAAGCAAGCAAAAGCATTACTGATTACTTCTGAGAACCCAGCAGTGTAGATGGGTTTCGGGAGGCTAAACTCCAATGGACCTACAGTTCCATCAAAGAGACGTCTTGAACTCTCCGTTTGCTTAACACCACAGAAACTGGGATGAGCTCCAGCCCTCTGAGCCCCTCAAGCTGGTGGCTGGCTTCGGCCTGTGAAAGTCTAGTGTAGCCAGTGGGGATCTCAGCACCAGCTGGAGAATACTCTGTATAGGGAGGTCATGTTTATAGCAGCAGAGCCAGCATGAACCAGAGGAGGAGTCAGCCCAGAAGGTGAGCTCTGATTAATGTATGCATGCTTTCCCATGAATGACCCCTGCCTTAAAACCATGAATAAAATCATTAAACGCACTACACACTTCTGCGGGGGCAACAGTTTAATACAGAAGTGAGAAAAAAGATTCCAAACTGTAAGGAAAAATGCAGCTGCAACAAAACTTGTAAAGAAAGGCAGTGGTGTCTCACAGAGTCCTGGAGAGTTTAATAACAGCTGCCAGCTTCTCTCTCTCTCTCTGGGTAATAACCTCTCTCCCTCTCACCCTCCTCCCTCGACTGAATTCCTCGATCCCTTCCTTTCTCCGATGCCCTGCCTTCCTTTTCCCCGTCTGCGCGTGTCACTCCCTGAGGCGGTCTGTCACCCGGCCCTGTGCTTAAACTCTCCTGTCCCAATGCAGGGCTGTCAAAGCCGTTGAATAAATACCTCCCTGAACAAAGCAAGCCTTCATCCTGCTGGCTGTGACTGACGGTTCCCCTGAGGGGAGACAGCCCGCCTCAGCGCTGGGGCTGAGAAACAGGAACACTGCCATTAGGACTGAGGCTAAACTACATTACTCACAGCACGTCTCAGGTAAGAGAGCTCAGTCCCCACCCCAAGGGCTCTGCAGGGATGCAAATGAAGACTCCCATTCCAAAGGGCGTTTGAGACATCTCAGGTTTTACAAGCTCCACAACGTCTTGTGTATAATCTAACACCAGCTGTTGGGAGATTCGCGCTTCTAACATTACATAGTCTCTTCAGAGAGTCACCTTCTCGAAACTCCTTCAAAACCAGACTCAAAACCTTCGTCTTTAGAAGAGCCTTTACTTCACTGGTTCTGATCTTTATCCCTCTGCTCCTACTGTATTCAGTACCACCATCTACTGTCTCCTCTAACTGTGTATTCTCTGCTTATCTTGTGTATTTTTTTTTTTATTGTTGTTGCTGTCATTATGTAAAGCGCTTTGAGAAGCCACCCTTAAAGGCGCTATATAAAATAGTTTATTATTATTATTATTATTATTATTATTATTATTATTGTTGTTATTATAGTGTTAATCCACAAAATTGAGTGGAATTAGGAATTACAGAACAAAAAATCAGCATCACTATCCTACAGTTCTTTTGATTAGGTAGTCAACATGGAAAATGATCTGGCTGGAAACTGTCAGAGCAACGTTTCTACAAAGGCACCAGGTAATACATGAATCAGGTTTCTAACCCAAAGAGCTGTGCTGATGGAGGTGAGTACAGAGCCACATGCTACCTGTGTCTGTGCCTGTACACAGTAACATCCATCCATCTTCTAACCACTTTATCCAGTTCAGGGTCATAGTGGAGCCAGCGTCTATCCCAGCATGCAAAGGGTGCAAGGCAGGAGCCACCTTGGATGGGACACCAGTCCATTGTAGGACACAGACAAAAAACACCCACATTCAAACCAGGGCCACTCTTCCCAGAAGCCAATTAACCTTCCAGCATGTGTTTGGACTGTGGGAGGTAACTGAAGCACCTGGAGGAAACCTACATAAACACGGGGAGCACACACAAATTCCACAGCACCCCAGGTCTGGATTTGAACCCGGGGCCCCAGCACTGTAAGACAGCAATCCACTGTGCCACTTCACAAAGATACACTGGGCGATCACCAGGATTTTCAAAATGCTTATTTTCAAGGAGGTCTTTTATGGTTTGGTTCATCTGGTTCAGATACAACTGCTGTCCCTGAAGCACAACACCTTCAAACAACTGCCCCCTTTCGTAAATACCACAGGCTTTTACAGATGTTGATTAGACCTTGAAGGGCCTTCCACTTCCATGAGTGCCCTCCCAATCCACACAGGACTCCTCCAGGCAAGAGATCCTCATCTCTGTCCTGTCTGGATGTAAAGACTAGGCCCAAGCCAGACTCTCGATGTCTAGACAGAAAAGCCTCCTGTTTTGGAAGGGCAGATCTCGCTGAGAGAAGAGTGCACACTCACCAGGCTCTTGTACTGTGTAAACAATCTAAATCACTAAACAAGATGGATTGTGTTTCCCAGACGAGATAGCGG